AGAGGCCAGCACGCGAGCGGAAGCCGAAGCCAGAGCAGGGGCTGCGGTAAAAGGCAGACTGCAGACCCACAGCCAGCACGCGTCAGCAAGGGATCCAGTGGGGACTCTCGTGCAGGCAGAGTCCACCGCCTGCCCTGCCCCCTGCACAGCACAGGCCCCTTCCGAAAGGAGTCCTCGTGGGAAGGCTTACCTCCGCTGGGACTGAGTCTGCAAAAGTCACTTTTAAGTCACAGGAGACCACGATGCCAGCTCCTCGCTCCCCCCACCCCGGCACCCACGCTCGGGGGTGAGGCGGGCCAGGGGGACGGTTAGCTGGGCCTGCCCTCCTGCCCCAAGCCGTTTCTTGCTGGGATTCTCGTCTCCTTGCAGGACTGGCCCCTTCCCTGGCCCCCAAGGACCAGGCTGGGGGCGAAGCGGTGCGGTCGGCGCTGTACTGCGGGCTCTCGGCCTCCAGAGGGCGCGCCGGCCCCGCACTCCGCATCCGCCCCGCCTCCGACGCCGGCTCCTAGCCTTCGGCCTCCATCGCTGAGGGACCCCAGGCCTCCTCTGGGAGTTCAGGCAGGCCGAGAAGGAACCCCAGGTGAGGAGTATTTGGGAGCCATGCAAAAGAAAGGTAATTCTAAGCGCTGACACGGAGCAGGTGCCAGTCTGAATCCCACTTTTCAGTGAAGCCATTGAGACACGGAGGGTGAAGAAGGTTGCAGAGGTGCACAGCTGGGGAGGGGCAGAGCTGAGCTGTGACCCCCCCGAGTCTGGCCCCAGAGCCCTCCCTCGAGGCGTTTCTCTTCCTCCTGCTCATCCCAGGAGCAGGCAGGGTCTGGGACGGGTTGCTCTGGAGGTAACTCAGTGGCCTGGCCCAGGTTGGGAGGAGACGAGGGTAGGGGTCGGGGTCAAGAGGAGTCCTTGGGCCCAGACCCAGCATCCCTCTGATGAGAGAAGGGGTTTGAGCTGCCCCTGCCCAGTGCTGATGGGTGCAGGGTCCGAAGGCAAACGAGGCCAGGTTCCGCCTCTGTGAAGCAGCAGCTGAGAGTCCTCGCTTCCGGCACGAGGGTTTGCAGGGAGCTGGCCACACTGCTGGCCCGTGCTAGGCTCTGGCATATACAAATAAACAAGCTGTGTTCCTGCTCTAAGGGGTCCTCAGCCCCTGGATGGGTGCCCAGCACCACCCCCTGGGTCCTGCCAAAGGATCTACCCCAAATCTGATCAGGACTCCAGGTCTAACTGTCAGCTCACAGGAAACACGAGGGGGCAGAGGAGGAACATGTGAAACCGCTTCCACTGGGATGAGGTCTGGGAAATCCAGAAAGCACGAACCGTACAGGGCAACCGACCCAGCTTTGTGAACCCAAATGACACTGGGGGAAGTAAAAAGGGAAGGCAAGAGGGCAGGAGCTGTGGCGCAGCGAGTTAAGCTGCAACCTACAATGCCAGCATCCTGTATGGGCACCGGTTCGAGTCCTGGCTTCACCACTTCCAATCCAGCTCCCTGCTAGTGTACCTGGGAAAGCAGTGGAAGATGGTCCAAGTCCTTGGGCCCCTGCACCCACATGGAAGACCCGGAAGAAGCTCCTGGCTCCTGGCTTCGGATCAGTGCAGCTCCTATTGCAGCCATTTGGGGAGTGAATCAGTGGGTGGAAAACCTCTCTCTCTGTCTCTCCCTCTCTCTGTCTGTTACTTTGCCTTAAATAAAATCCTTAAAGCTTCAGAACACAAATAATATGAGTGGAAGCTGAGACAATAGTGATGACTGCTAGTTTGATATCTATTTTCTACGTGGGATTCACCCCATTGTTGTATTGTGGCGCTGGATTTTTCCACTAATTCTTCCCTGTTTGTCAGAAGGGAATGAAACCTATCGGCAATTCCCGGTCCTTGGCAAAGAGCGTCGCGGTTCTCGGAGAATTCTTTCCTGGACCTGTTTCACAATTCCTGGCGTGCTTTCCTTCCCCCTGTGGTGTCACCCTGGCCCAGCCACGTGGCCCAGTTCCCCAAGACCGGGTGGTGCTTTTAACCTCAGGGATTATAATTTTTCTAAGAGGGGCAGGTCCTTTTACTCTTTTATCAAATGACAAGCCAGGCGTGGCAAAGCAATTCTCAAATTCCTCTGTTTATTGCAATGCCCGCAGAGGCAGAACAAGCAGAAGGAATCTAGGGAGAGCCAGGCAAGAACAGGCTGAAAGAAATGACTGAGGCACAGCACACTGGCCATGCACCAAACCGCAGGTGTCCGCGGAGGAACTGGTCAACCGGCCAGGGGACGCGCCCTTCCTGGTGACACTCAAACTGCTCCCGATGGCTGTCCAGTCGTCAGCAATGGACTTCACACTCCCATGGCCAACGCCTTTTCAGAGGGAACTCTGGCAGAGGGTGGAGTCTTACATGGCAGCCTGCAGTCACTGGCATTGATCGCCCTAGTAGGTGTGTTTGCGATGTCAGCTTTCCCAGGAAAAGTCTTAGACATGGGCTGCCTCATTTGCATATCAGTGCACAGTTGTCCCCATGGTTATCAGTCAGCCCAGGTGACTATTGGCCAGTCATTTTGCTCAGTGACAGCTTATAAGAAACTGCATTAATCATTATCGAAAGGCCGGGTGACAATAATCATAGCATAGCAAAGCACGCATCCCAGCGTGTGGACTGGCTGCTCGCCTGCTCGCCTTCAAGTGAACTGGTGTTTCCGCAGCTGGGGATGAGACCCTTTGGCTTGGCTGATATCTGATCCTTAGCACCAGAAAGGCCTGTGGACCCCCACGTCCAAGAGAGCGCACAGGCTTAAGTTCAAGTTCAGGTCTATATTGAGGATTCTGAAGCCACATCCAGGACTTGGCAAGAAAGCCCTGATTTGTAAGTGATGCCTGCCCTGTAAGGGATTATGGAAGCTTGCACACAGGCCATATACCTACTTCAATAGCAAGCAAATGTTGGTTCCCCTCCTAGACCTGCTGGGGGCAGGGCCCAGTGATCTGGGTTTTCACAGCCCTCCCAGGGGTGCTGATGCATGCTTGGGTCTGAGAAGCACTGATCTCTGTGTCCTGTCTCTGGCCCCATTCTGCAGTGGGCACCCAGCAGGGAGAAACTACGAGCTTGGAGCCGGGACAGCGCGGTCGCGGGCGCAAAGACGGCAGCTGCGATAAAGTAGTGTGGTCCTATGCACCAGAGGCCGCCCCGATGACCCGATGACACTGCCTGCAGTGCTGTGCAGGGCCAAAGGTTCCTGATTTATGACCTCCCGGCTTCATTCCATGCGGCCCAGGAGCCTCAAGGGGATTGGTGCGTTGGAAACACCTGAACTGAAACAGAGCCCACAAGCATCAGGGAAAATCCCCGTCCGGTCCCCCACCCGCACCCTGCAGGCTCTGCTCACATTCTTCACACGAGCTTTCACTCACTCTCCCATCAGGCGTTTGCTCAGTGCCCCCTGGGTCCCACCTGCAGAGGCCAGTGCTGACCATGAGATTAACAAGGAAATGGGACTGCTTTTCATACAACTGGGTAAGTGGGAGCTCCCTCTGATCCCCTAGTTCACTCCCCACCCCATCTAGGGGAGCACCAACCTCCAGCCACAAAGGTCAAGGCCATCCCAGTGAGAAGACTCCAGACTCCTAGTGTACAGGCCTGGCTGAGTGCCCCCTGCCCCCACTGCTGCATGGGAGGTGCTGATGGGAAAGATAGAGAAGCAAACTTAGTTCACAGGGCAGGGAAGGCTACCCCAAGGTGGAGGCCACCCAGCCCAGGGCCCCAGGGCCCAGAAGTCCCCTCAGTGCTCTGCATTCGTCCAGCAGCAATCCAGGCTGTGGATGCAGTGGCTCGTCCCCGGGGGAGGAAGTGACAGGTGGACCGACACTTCCTAAATGGCTGGTGGCACGTGACTGGTCTCTGCTGCACCCCAGGGAGTCCCCCCAGGCTCCCCCAGACCCCAATTTTGTGAGGAGGACACACAGCTGAGGCTAAAAAGCAGAATCCAGCCAATCTGATGCCACCAGGAGGCTGTCCCCTCTCGCGCTGTGCTGCCTCCGCAGGGGCTGACACAGGACTGGTGCCTCCGTGTATTCCTAGGAGCTGCGTAGGTACCAGGAGCCTGGCGTAGAAATGAAAGTCCTTTCTCTTGCTCCTAACCAGCCATGTCACTGCCCCAGGATCTTCTCCAGGGGCCTCTGTGAACTAGGAGAGGGCGAGAGCCCAGGCCCCGTCCTCTGCAGCGCCACCCACCTGACCACTTCTCCCACCCCCTGCTCTTGAACTTTACCTCCTGTGCTCCTGGGCAGGACCTGCAGCATAAGCTGTGAGCCCAGAGCAAAGTGAAAGTGCAGGGCCCGCAGATCGCACACCCTTAAGGATTTCAGGATGGCGACAGCAGAGCATTGGGCCGGCCACAGGCCCATCTGCACATGGGCTGCACACCCCCGAAACTGCCACCCTGGTGCAGGGCCAAGTGTCACCCACTGCGTGTCCCCTGTGTGTGGGCTCTGTACCTCCTGCTGTAAGGTGGAGCTTGGGAAACAGGAAGCTGTGCCTACCGGGGGCCCGGGGCTGCCGCAGAGAACAACGGAGCCAAGAGCCATTCCTCGCTCCAGCTTTGCCAGCAGGTGTCCAGACCAGGGGCCTAAGCCCATCATGGGGCTCCCATCCCAGGTCCCCTGGAGCCAGAGGAGACTTGTGTTCTGCTGGGCTTGCCAAGAGACAGTGCGCCTTCTCTGGACTTTGTAACCTTTCTGTACAGAACTTTGGGTTTTTGTGGCCCACAAGTGGACCGGATGGCCTCTCGCTTCCCCAAATCATCACTGGCCTTGAGGATATAATAAATCTTCTGAACTGAAGGTATTTATGACATCAGAAATGGCAAATGGTGGGGCCGGCGCTGTGGCGTAGTGTGTAAAGCCACCACCTACGGTGCCGGCATCCCATGTGGGCGCCAGTTCAAGTCCCAGCTGCTCCACTTCCGATCCAGCTATCTGCTGTGGCCTAAGAAAGCAGTGGAAGATGGCCCAGGTCCTTGGGCCCCTGCACCCACGTGGGAGACCTGGAAGAAGCTCCTGGCTCCTGGCTTCGGATCAGCGCAGCTTCAGCCATTGCAGCCAACTGGGGAGTTGAGAACCAGCGGATGGAAGACCTCTCACTCTCTCCCTCTCCTCTCTGTAATCCTGACTTTCATATAAATAATAAAATACATCTTTTAAAAATGGCAAATGGGAGAAGCACATGGCACGCACTTACTTCTGTATGGCTGGCTGGAATACTCTTGACACTCCCAGCTGCTGTGTAAGCGATTTGACCTCCCAGAGGCCACCACATTGTGGGGAAGCCCAGGCTCACCCGGAGGGCCAGAGCCCCTGAGAAAAGCCAGAGGACAGCACCAGCTCCCCATGGTCCCAACCACCTGCCTGCAGCCGCTAGCGAGAAACACCAAAAACAGAATCCCTTCCATGCATTTGCTGCTTGCTCTCCTCGTCTTCCTGCCTGCAATGGAAGTATCACGGGGAACACGGAGGAACCACCATGGACACACGCGAGGACAAGCCAGAGACGCCGATGCACTTGCTGAAGATGCCTGAGCAGAGAGACGGAGCGAGGGGCTCCCCAACAGCATCATACTGCTGCTAGCTTCACCCTGGATCTCCAAACACAGGAGATAAAAAAAAAAAAAAAAACAACCCACAACCTCCTGATCATTCAAATAATAATAAAGAACCATAACTATCTCTGAATTCTGGAACCCGTTGTTGGGCCACCAGTGGGAAATTCCATTGAGGCCCTGCCCGGGGGTGGGGGGTGTGTCTCACCCCAATAGCCTTCTGGGAAACCCTCTGGAGAACTCCAAAAGAAACAAGCAAGGTGCACAGACTCTCCGAGGCTTATTCTTGGTGCAACCTTGCAGCCCAGAAGATAATTTTGTTTTTCCTCTGCAGAGCGATGTCTTTCTCAAAGACTCTCCAACACCCCCCCCCAAAGTCAATCTTGTCCCTGAAGGGAATCTTTTTTTTCTTTTTAAAGACTTCTTTACGGCAGGTACAAGCAGAGGAAGGGTCACACGGTGAGGCAGGGAGCAGAGAGAGGGCCTGGGCTTTTGTTTTATTTTATTTTGGGTAAAGAATCTATTTGAAAGGCAGAGTTATGGACAGAGAGAGAACAAGAGGGAGAGATCTTCCCTCTGCTGGTTCACTCCCCAATGGCCGCAATGGCCAGAGCTGGACCGATTGGAAGCCAGGAGCTTCTTCCAGGTCTCCCACACGGGTGCAGGGTCCCAAGGACTTGGGCCATCTTCTGCTGCTTGCCAGGTGCACTAGCAGAGAGCTGGATTGGTAGTGCAGAGCTGGCTCCAAATTCAAGCTTTGATAACAAGACTCTTGGTGAGAATTTAGGTCAACGAAGACCACACCCCCAATAACCTAAGCTCCTCCCCCCCCAATGCCTCACCTCCTAAATGTTCCACCACCTCCCAGTAGCGCCATCCTGGGGACCATGCTTTTAACCCATGCACCTGTGAGAGACGCTGGGCGTCCAAACTAATGTCCAGACCATGCTGGTGGGGTTCTGAGATTGTGCCTCCATGGGATCGGGTGGCCAGGGCAGTGGGAGAGGGCCAGTCTCCCCCAACGCCAGGGCAGTGCCTCAGGAAGGGGTGGTGGGTGCTGGGGCACTGAAATCCTGTGTGTCTTCCAGGTGTGTATGGGGAGAGCAAGTGGGAAGCCAGGCTTCGCGTTGATTTCCTGGCTGTAATCTCAACAGAGGCCAGCAGAGGGCGGTGCTCCGGTCTGTGGGGACTCCCACAGGCGGTGCTGGGGCAGCCAAATTAATTCCCAGCTGAGATGCCCTTGGTGTGGTGACCAGGAGTGGGCGGCAAGGGAGGGAACCGTGAGTGGTAGGCGGTCCTCCCTCGCCAGGCTGCCCGGGGGCAGGGGGCTGGCAGACAGAGCCAGAGGTCCACCACAGTCCACCACTAAGGTACTGCCCGGAGGGAGGCATTTCCTGGATCTCTGCTTGCCATCTAAGCCGCTGGAAGGCCTCTAGGAAATCCCTGCAGCAGGTTTACCAGGCTCTGTAAACAAACACAGACCTTGAAGTACTGGGTGAGTGGGGCCAGGCTGTGGGTGCTGGCAGAGTACGGACCCTGCACACCGGCCAGGACTCTAACCCCCGACTGCCATTGTGGACCATGTGTGCCTGGATCTACTGCTTGGCCTCTTTGTGTCTCTGTTTTCTCTCTAAAATGAACACACTAAGGGGAAGGTGGGGACAGTGCTGTGGCACAGCGGGTTAAACCTCTGCCTGCAGTGCCGACGTCCCATATGGGTGCAGGTTCAAGTCCTGCTTGCTCCACTTCCTATCCAGCTCTCTGCTGTGTCCTGGGAAGGCAGTGGAGGATGGCCCAAGTCTTTGGGCCCTTGCACTTGCATGGGAGGCCCAGAAGAAGCTCCTGGCTCCTGGCTTCCCATCGGTGCAGCTCTGGCCATTGCAGTCAGTTGGGGAGTGAACCAGTTGGTTGGAAGACCTCTCTCTCTCTCTCTCTCTTTGCCCCTCCTCTCTCTGTGTAACTCTGACTTTCAAATACATAAATAAATCTTAAAAAAAAAAATTGAGGGTCGCCATTGTGGCATAGCAGGTTAAGCCACCGCCTGAGCAGGTTAAGACACCGGCATCCCATGTGAGTGCTGGATCAAGTCCCGGCTGCTCCACTTGTGATCCAGCTCTCTGCTATGGCCTGGAAAGGCAGTAGAGGAAGGCTCAAGTGTTTGGGCCCCTGCACCCACACCGGAGACCTGGAAGAAGCGCCTGGCTCCTGGCTTAAGCCTGGCCCAGCCCCAGCCAGTACAGCTATTTGGGGAATGAACCAGCAGTTGGAAGATCTCTTTCTCTCTTTCTCTGCCTCTCCCTCTCTCTCTCTCTGTAACTCTGCCTTTCAAATAAATAAAATAAATCTTCAAAAAAAAAATGAAGACAGGGCCAGGACTGTGTCGTAGCGGGGAAAGCTGCCGCTTGCAGTGCCAGTATCCTTTATGGGCACCAGTTCGAGTCCCAGCTGCTCCACTTCTGATCCAGCCCAATGCTATGGCCTGGGAAAGCAGTGGAAGGTGGCTTACTGCACCTGTTTGGGAGACCCAGAAGAAGCACCTGGCTCCTGGCTTCAGCCTGGCCCAGCTCCAGCTGTTGTGGCCATTTGGGGAGTGAACCAGCTGATGGAAAACCTCTCTCTCTCTCTCTCTCTGCCTTTGCCTCTCTGTAACTCTGCCTTTAAAAAAAATGAAGACATTCTAGAACCTGCCTAAAAAGGACAATGTGGGGCATAGTGAACGAACACATTCCCATGTGCCTACTGTATTCTGTGCACTTATTAGAGTATGCAGTACCCAATCATCATCATAAGCCAACATTATGACGTTGTTATGTTCCTTACCACAGCCTCGCACGTTAATACCCTATTTAATTGGTCACACATGAATCTGGTTCCTCCGTGGGATAAACTTCACAAAGTCTATAAGAAATGGAATGAAAAGATTTTCTCTCAGTGCAAACAGCAACGGAAGTCCATGTGTACACGAGGGCTTCAAAAAGTTCGTGGAAAATGAGTACTAGGACAAAGCTACCCAAAGACCCCCCCCCCAGAAAAAAATTGTTTTTTGCACTCAAAGCCACTTCCCTGTAATTCTGTTTTTTGCAAACGTGTTGAGGTGCCTGCATATTGCAGCTGACCCCTGCAGGCACCGAGGGTCCCTCAGTGGTGGAGAGAAACGGTTCCTTCTAAGGAGACTGCGGGCCAGCTTTTCCTGCGGACGGGAGGTCACGGGGACGGCCACTCCTGCGCCAAGTTAATTCAAGGACGACCTCGAGGACTCTGACCACAGAGGAACTTCTGGAGGGCTTCTTCCCGGGTTCTCACTTCCGTGGGACGCACATGAAGCTGCCGAGAGAGTAGCACGTGAATCAGCTCCGGTGTCGCTGGAGCAGCTACCCAGACTTGCGCTGCGCACACACACACAGGGCCAGCCCTGGAGAGGAGGAGCCAACCCCGACTCCCCACTTTGGAGCCCCGATGGTTTTGGGGGGCAATGGTAAACAAAGGACCATGGTTTGACCATGACATTAGCCTCTGAATGTAGGTGAAACACACACTCACACACACTCAAACTCTCACACTCTCGCACTCACAACACCCTCACACACATGCTCACACACTCATACACACACGCACACTCACACACACACCGACACACACTCACATTCTCACATGCTCACACACACGCGAACATGATCACACACACATACACTCACACACATTCATGCAGTCACACACACTGACACACACATGCTCACACACACTGTCATACACACGCACAGTCACGCTTTCACACATGCTCACACACTCACACCCACACACACTGGCACACACTCACACTCTCACACTCACAGCACCCTCACACACATGCTCACACACTCATACACACACGCACACTCACACACACACACCGACACACACTCACATTCTCACATGCTCACACACACGCAAACATGATCACACACATACACTCACACACATTCATGCAGTCACACACACATGCTCACACACAGTCATACACACGCACAGTCACGCTCTCACACACACTCACACCCACACACACTGGCACACATGCACACACTCACACTCTCTCATATGCACTCACACTCACAGTCACACACACACGCTCACACACTGACACACTCACATTCTCACACACACACAAACATGATCACACACACTCATACACTCACACACACAGTCTCACACACATACGCTCACACACACATTCACATACTCACACTTACACACTCACGAACACAACTCCCTGTCTCCCCACTTCCTGGCTTCTCCTATGATTCTTCCTGCACCCAGTGCTCTGCCATCCACCATGAGGCCTTCTTCCCCAAAGCCTCCATCACAATGTTTGGACTTTAACCTCCAAAATCCTGAGCCAATATAAACCTTTTAAACGCTCACTTGGTTTTCCTGCCTTACTAGATGTCTGAGAACCAGACATGCCTTGCTGTTAACCGGCTATTTCCTGCAAAAACTTGACCTCCTGGAGGGAGGTAACTTACCCATTTACCATGTAATGTTAATTAGTTCCTCACGCCCAGTTGAACCCCAGGTCAACAGAGGAAGGACAGTTGGAAAATTGGGGGGAGGGGGAGATACTAGGGCTGGGCGTGTCCTCAGTAACAGAGGACAATGGTCATTGGCTATCCAGCCCCAGCTATTAAATCAGCACCTCTGGGGTGGGGGGAGGGGCAGGCATCTCCATTTTTAAAGCTCCCCTGGGAATTCTGGAGCAGCCAAGGTTAAGGGACCACTGGAAGTCCCCAGGAGGGAGAACCTTGGTACAGCGAAGGAGATGTGGAGATACTGTCCATTGTTGGCAAGAAAAGTCTTTTCCTCTGCCTTCTTCAGTTCATTGCATAGGGGGTCAGCAAGTTAAACTGACATAAGACAGGTGAGCCAGAGAAACCACAGATTTTAATCACAAAATCACATACACTGGGGAGTTCACACACACAAAAAAAAAAATGTGACCCAAGGAGGTACTTGGGGTTTGTGTTTCATCTCATAGGGGACTGGGGCAGAAAGGCCACATGGGAAAATCAGAGCACCCTTAGGAGAGCAGGTGGGTGACGGGACAACATCGGCTTACATGTGATGCCGACTTCTGGTCGCTGGTGGCGTGAGTCCATCTGAGGGAAGAGCGATTTATGGTGCATGAGTTTGGAGGGTAGAAAATACACCACCCCTAGGTCGGCGCTGTGGCCTAGCAGGTTAAGGCACTGCCTGCATCCCAAATGAGCACCGGTTCCAGTCCCGGATGCTCCACTTCCAACACAATGTGCATAGAGAAAGCAGCAAAAGATGGCTCGTGTACTTGGGCCTATGCACCCATACACTAGGAAGTTCACACACACACACACACACACACACACACAATGTGACCCAAGGAGGTAGCTGGAACTAATGTGCCTGGGGAAAGCAGCAGCAGATGACCCAAGTCCTTGTGTCCCTGCACCCATGTGGGAAACCTGAAGCTCCTGGCTCCTGGCTTCAGCCTGGCCCAGCCCTGGCTGTTGCAGCCATTTGAGGAGTGAACCAGCAGATGGAAGATCTTTTCTCTCTCTCCAACTCTGCCTTTCAAATAGACAAGTAAATCTTTAAAAAAAAAATACACCAACCCTAAATATGCTACTTTGGCAAAAGGGTTATTTGGAGCTGAAAGCAACTGAGGAGAAACAATACAAGAAAGGTTATTTGCCTAAAAGCATAACACACGTGAGGCAAGCCATCCCCCCCACTCCCTCTCTACCAGGATATACAGAGGTTAGGCATCAGAGACGGCTCCAGACCCTCATCACCCTGGAGATGCACCAGAGGATCCTACCTGATGACCCTTGCCAGCTAGCTCTTGTCTACCATCGGTTTCCCTATATATTTGCCTCTCCACAGTATGCTTGCCACTTCTCTATAAAGATGTGTCATTCCCTTAAGATGCTGTGGGCCGGCGCCGCGGCTCACTAGGCTAATCCTCCGCCTAGCGGCGCCGGCACACCGGTTCTAGTCCCGGTCGGGGTGCCGGATTCTGTCCCGGTTGCCCCTCTTCCAGGCCAGCTCTCTGCTGTGGCCAGGGAGGGCAGTGGAGGATGGCCCAAGTGCTTGGGCCCTGCACCCTATGGGAGACCAGGAGAAGTACCTGGCTCCTGCCATCGGATCAGCGCGGTGCACCGGCCGCAGCGCGCCAGCCGCAGCGGCCATTGGAGGGTGAACCAACGGCAAAGGAAGACCTTTCTCTCTGTCTCTCTCTCTCTCACTGTCCACTCTGCCTGTCAAAAAATTAAAAAAAAAAATAAAAAAAGATGCTGTGTAAACTTGTATCAACCAACTTTTCATCACTATAATGAAATACTTGAAGCAACTAACTTTATAAAGAGGTTTACTTAGCTCATAGTTTTGGAAGTTCAAGTCCAAGATCAGGACAGCCCATCGGTTTGGCCTCCATGAGGGTAGCAGATGGCCATGGTTGAGCCCACGGAAAGTAAGGATCCTGTGGTAAGCAGAGAGAAAAATGGGGCCTACATTCAAGCTGTCATTTATTTATTCATTAAAATGTATTTATCTAAAAGGCAGTTACAGACAGAGAGGGAGAGAAGAGATCTTCCATCAGCAAGTTCAGTACCCAAATGGGTGCAACAGCCAGGGCAGGCTAAAGCTAGGAGCCTAGAACTCCATCTGGGTCTCCCACATGGGTGGCAGGGCCCAAGCACTTGGGACATCTTCTGCTGCTTGCCCAGGTACATTAACAGGGAGCTGGATCAGAAATGGAGCAGCCAGGACAAGAACCAGTGTCCATATGTGATGCCAGCATAGCAGGCAGCGGTTTAACCTGCTACACCGCAATGCCAAGTGCTCCCCTCACTCCTCAAATCAGACTTGTAAAACCACTCTTTTTGGAGAACTATTTTCTAAGCACACGCCTCCAATGACCTAGGACCTCCCACTAGACTCTAATTCCTAGGGGTTGCATCACCTCCCCATCAATCTGAGGACCATGCCTTTAACACATGGGCCTTTGTTGGTGGGGCAGGGGGAGGGGCATTGAGCATCCAAACTAATACCCAAATCATAGTAACATAGTAAAGCCCTGATTCTACCCACATCATTTGAGTCTGCCCCACAGTGCACATATTAATAAATGTGCTTGTTCTTTTCTTGTTAATCCGTCTTTTGTCAATCTAATTCACCACATCCCAGCCAGTGAACCTGAGAGCCTCCCCTACAAGTTCCTTGAGGAGGCCCTGCTTTTAGGCAGAGGTGGGAGTTCAGGAAAAACAAAAACAAAACCATTCTTTTAAAAAAAATTATTTATTTGAAAGGCAAAGTTATAGAGAGACAGGGAAAGAGAGAGAGAGAGGTCTTCCATCCGCTGGCTCACTCCCCAGATGGCCATGACGCCCGGAGCTGTGCCAATCCAAGGCCAGGAGCCAGGAGCTTCTTCTGGGTCTCCCACACAGGTGCAGGGGCTCAAGGACTTGGGCCATCTTCTACTGCTTTCCCAGGCCAGAGTAGAGAGTTGGATTGGAAGCATAGCAGCCGGGACTCGAACTGGTGCCATATGGTATGCTGGCACTGCAGGTGGCGGCTTTACCCACTACACCACAGCGCCAGCCCCCAAAACCATTCTTTTTTTTTTTTTTTTTTTTTTTTTTTTTTTACAGGCAGAGTGGACAGGGAGAGAGAGAGACGGAGAGAAAGGTCTTCCTTTGCCGTTGGTTCACCCTCCAATGGCTGCCGCGGCCGGCGCACTGCGCTGATCCGATGGCAGGAGCCAGGTACTTATCCTGGTCTCCCATGGGGTGCAGGGCCCAAGCACTTGGGCCATCCTCCACTGCACTCCCTGGCCACAGCAGAGGGCTGGCCTGGAAGAGGGGCAACCGGGACAGAATCCGGCGCCCCGACGGGACTAGAACCCGGTGTGCCGGCGCCGCTAGGTGGAGGATTAGCCTAGTGAGCCGTGGCGTCGGCCCCAAAACCATTCTTAAATGCGTTCAGCTCACAATGCTCTTCACATCACAGTGGCATACTGTAGGCCCCTTCAATACAGCACAGCTGTGGCCAGATCTACCTAGCCTTTCACTGTCTATCAGAGCAAGAATGTAGGTTTGCCCCATAGGGCTCCCATCCTCAAAGGTCAACCCCAACCCCATAACTCACGGTCAGCAGAGAAGGCTAATGCCAGAGGGTGGGCAGAGGGGACAGATGGGACACTTGAGCTTTGCATAGCCAGGGTCCTGCAGTGTGTACCCCTCCAGCCCACTTGCACCCTGCAAATGCACTGTCCCTCTTCCCCTGCCTTCTGGCTGTGTGCTTTAAATTCAGGCCTCCTAATCTCGTCTATGAGCCTTTTTCTGTTACGTGAATTCCAGAGCAACCTGCGAAGCAGTGAACTTGAAGGCTTCTGCAGCATAAGATAATTCCCCACATGACCGCACAGGGACAAAGCGCTTGTCACTGCGCTCGGTGGGGGACTGTGCAGTGACCTAGCTGCTCACCGCCAAGATGAGCAAATAAAACACAGTGGGTGAACCGGGGGCAGTCTTGGCAGCAAGGAGCAGTGAACTAGACAGGAGCTTGCAAACTTGTCTTCCTGTTACCTGCAACAAGGAAACACTACTTCCATTGTAACCAGGCTTGAGCGTCTATCTTTGAAACAGACGCTCATGAGCTAATGTTGAATTGTTTCAGGTACTCTGATTTTAATTGTAGGCATTTATGGTGTTTCTTTTTTTAAAGGCTTATTTATTTGAAAGGCAGAGTTAGATAGGCAGAGGGGGAGAGAGAGAGAGAGAGAGAGAGAGGTCTTCTATCCGCTGGTTCATTCCCTAGATGGCTGCAACAGCCCAAGCTGTGCTGATCCAAAGCCAGGAGCCAGGAGCTTCTTCCAGGTCTCCCATGTGGGTGCAGGGACCCAAGGACTTGGGCCATCTTCTACTGCTTTCCCAGGCCATAGCAGAGAAATGGATCGAAAGAGGAGCAGCTGGGACTAGAACTGGCGCTCATATGCATGCTGGCACTGCAGGCAGTGGCTTTACCTGCTTTGCCGCAGCACCAGTCCCTATGATGTGATAGTTCAACACTTACATATGATGTGCAATGGTCAGTTTGGGGTAATGACATAGCCATCACCTCAAACATTCATCATTATTTTATGTTGGGATTTTGTTATCAATTCGGTTCTTTCCCTACTAAGCAGGTTTCACTCACCATTTGTGGAACCTAACCTATCATTTGTAAAACACTGACTCAGATCTAAATGTATGTGGCACAGAGATAGTTGTCAATTATGCTGTTGGGTGAGAAAAGCCAGAAACAGAAGGAGATTTATAAGACGATGCCACTTAAAAAAGCATAAACCACATATACACACAGACACACACACACACAGACACACACACACACACGGACACACACACACACACATGGACACACCAGACCAAACACATTAGAGTGATGCGAGGGAGAAGATGGAATAGGAAGATAAAACCCAGAGGATTTTTTTAAAGATTTATCTTATTTATTTGAGAGGCAGAGTTACAGAGAGAGGGGCGGAGAGAGAGAGACAGAGAGAGAGAGAGAGAGAAGAATCTCCTATCTCCTATCTGCTGGTTCAGATGCCAAATGACCTCAATGGCCTGGAACTCTATCTGGGTCGCCTATGTGGGTGCAGGGGCCCAAGCACTTGGGTCATCTTCCACTGCTTTTCCAGGCCATAGCAGAGAGCTGGATCGGGAGTGGAGCAGCCAGAACTTGAACCAGCTCCAATATGGGATGCTGGCACCCTGCTATGGGATGCTGATGCTGCAGGCGGCAGCCACAATATCAGGCGGCAGTGCCACGATGCCACCCCCCACACCACCCCCACCCCCACCAGATGAATATTGAATGCAGTAATTCAATGATCCGGTCCTGAACCAGGGTCCAACCAAACAAAAACATGGGGTAGAGACAAATCTCTTGCTGGAAAAGTTTGTAAATTACATAAAAATGCAAAATATACTTAGGATCTAGAGACAGTTGCATTTAGAATTCTGTAAATGGCTCAATAAAATCAGTTCATAGGTGTGGGGAGCAACTCGGACTAGACTGTTACTCGAATTAAGACTTATTCTATGCATCTGCTCTCCCACAATATGGCGCTGGGAGAGGAGGAAACAGCTTCTACACAGCTGCCTCCAGTTCAACCAATAAACTGTAGGACCTGCTCCTGATTGGAGGAGAGCAGCGTACTCGGCGTGTGGGTAGCAGAGTTGGGATTGGTAGAAGAGGACTATAAAGGAGGAGAGAGACAACATGCACCAGGAACATCTATCTGAAGGAACACCTGTGCAGCCCCCGAGAGAGCCGGCCGGCGGTGTGCCGCTCCCCCGCGGAAGTGGGGAAAGTGGCAGGGGGAACCGCCCTTCCACAGAGGTGGAAGGGACGGTAGCCAACCCGGGAAGAACCAGCAGCAAACCCGGGAAGGGCCGAGCAGATAAAAAGAACAGCGCAGGGTCCTGTGTCGTTCCTCCACGAAGAGGGGGAGCGACACATAGGGTCAGCAAGAAAAATGGCTTCCAATGCAAACTTGGAAGCCAGGGCATGGGCATGGGTGGTACAGGTGGGGAGGAAGTAAAATCTTCCCAGGAGTGCCAACACCCCTGCAAATTCCCAGTCTCCCCTCCCTGTGCCCCTGAGGTTCCTTGGACTCAGCCTGCTTTCCTTGGAAACATCAGATCTAACACACTGGGGAAGAGGGGTTGGGTGGGAGTAGAGGGGAAGGCGTATTTCCTTAGGCAAACTGGTTCACTCCCCAGATGGCCGCAACAGCTGGAGCTACACTGATCCAAAGCCAGGAGACAGGAGCTTCTTCTGGGTCTTCCCATGTGGGTGCAGGAGCCCAAGGACTTGAGCTTTCCCAGGCCACAGCAGAGAGCTGGATCGTAAGTGGAGCAGCCGGGTCTCGAACCGGCACTCATATGGGATGCCAGCACTGCAAGCAGTGGCTTTACCTGCTACCCCACAGTCCCGGCCCCAGAAGGCTACTATTTCAAGAGAGGAGTTGACTTTGCAAAGGGAGGACCTTACCCAAAGGCCGTTCCCGAAGGTGCCACCTACACCACTGCCCGGCACCCCATGTTTCTGGCACCAGCTCTAAATACACAGGCCCCTTCAGGAAACGGCCAGCCATGGGACGGATGGGGGAAGTTTCCGTAGAGAGAACCTCTTAGGAAAGGGAGCTAGTTCCTGCTTGGCTCATTCATTGCTTCAGCCTTTCTGGCTCTCTGCCCCTCCCCCACAGCCCATTTGTAGCAGCAGCAGCCACCAGGCGCCCCAGATGGCACGGCTCCCTTTCTAGACATGGCCCCTGTGGTCCCACTGCCCAGGAAGGCAGGCCACCGAGGAAGCCCGCAGCCTCCAGCATGCTAGAAGGTTGTAAACAAGGTGTGTGTGTTGCAATCAGGCGCCTGAGGAGAGGCCAGCCGGGTCGGAATGCAAGGCTGGGGCTCAAGGCAGAGAAGGCACGGGCTCTGGAGGGCCTGGGCAGGGGGCCAGGGAACTGTAGCCAGGGGACTGGGTGCAGGCAGGCAGTGGGAGCAGGGGAGGGGCAGGGCGGTGGGGCTAGGGCAGGGCTTTCTCTCCAAGGCCAGGGGCAGCATGAGAGCTGAGAAGCCAGACGCACAAGGCATGGGTGGAATGGGTGGCAGGCGTGGTTATTCAGATGGCACCAAGCAGCTATGAAACTGCCCAGGGCACGGCAAGTGGCTGCTGCTCACTGCTATCGCTTCCGGGTGTCTGCTGTGTAGTGGCTTGCCTTGCCCAAGGATGCCCAGCCCTCGCCATGTCCACCCCTCAACTCCTCCAAGGAGGAACCTCCAGCCCAGGAGTCTCCCTCCCCAGACTACGGCTCTCTGGCGGTGGTAACAAGGCTGCCCCTCCCATCTAAGTTTTCCTGGGGCCAGAGACCACCTGATTCACAGTGACTTGGGGAACTGGGTGGTCAAGATCACAAGCTGGACCCGGTGCTGTGACACAGTTGGGTCAGCTGCCACTGGCAACACCAACATCCCATATCAGAGTGCTGGTTGGAGTCCCAGGAGTTCTGCTTCCAATCCAGCTCCCAGGTGCATTAGCAGGGAGCTGGATCAGAAGTGGAGCAGCCACTTGCGTCCACATGGGATGCAAGCACTATAGGTGGCAGCTTTACCTGCTAAGCCACAGCATCAGCCCCCAATCTTTTTTGAAATCCATGCATATGAACATTCTTTAAAAAGTTGATGGAAAATGCCTATTATGAAAAACGAAACACCTATAAATGGTTTTCTGAAATATTTTGGCATCAAAATGAAGTGATCTTTTCATCGCCACAACCAAACTCACAGAGTGGCAAGTGGGAAGGGGGCTTGCTAAACTCTGGCTGGGACAGCGCTCCCTGTCCACGAGGGCCCAAGCAGGCCAGACCAGCTGGAGCCGGGGGAGTGAGGTGTGAGGAGCCACTGCAGGAGATGGGGCAGCCGGCTGGGCATGGGCTGGGCAGGGGCCAGACGCCGCCAGTGTCTCAGGACTTGGGAAAGAGGGGCCAGGACGAGGCATGATGGCACAGAGGTGACAGTGGCATGGCCACACAGCATGAAGCGACAGAGCGAAGGAGGGGTGTGAGGAAGAGAGAGATGGAGGGTGTGGGGCTTGACGCAGGCCAGCAGGAAGCAGAAAGGCAGGGCAGGCAAGATTCTGACCCCAAAGCCCAAGCCCTTTACCACTGACGAGGGTGGGGGGCAGGGTTTGTCGATTTCTCCTTTGTCCCTCATTGGCCAGGACAGTGCTGACAACTTACCAGGTATTCAATCAACTCATTTTATTCATAGAACGTGTGCTAGGCACCTGCAATGAGTCGAGGAACCCGGCATGGAGCAGACAGGTGCTCTGCCATAAGCACCAGGGACACACCAAGGAACATAGCAAGCAGCCCGGCCTCCTGCAGCTGTCACAGGTCATTGCTTTGGATGGAGCTCCTGCTCCAGCCCCAACAGCCCAGGCTAAACGTCAAAACAGAGCCACTCACGCTGATGTTCCACATCACCCAAGCCAACACTAAGCTGCGTCTCGGATTTCTTCTGAGAAGTCAGGATTTACAGAAATAACAGCCAAGGGTCCGGCAACTGTGGGGTGGAGGTAAAGCCACCACCTGCAGTGCTGGCATCCCATATGGAAGCCGGTTCAAGACCCAGCCACTCCACTTCCCATCCAGCTCTCTGCTACGACCTGGGAAAGCAGTAGAAGATGGCCCAAGTCCTTGGGCCCCTGCACCCACGTGGGAGACCCAGAAGAAACTCCTGGCTCCTGGCTCCGTATTGGCACAGCTCAGGCTGTTGCTGCCAATTTGGGAGTGAACCAGCGGATGGAAGATTTCTCTCTCTCTCTCTTTTTCTCTCTCTCTCTGCCTCTCCTTCTGTGTAACTCTGACTTTCAAATAAATAAATAAATCTTAAAAAAAAAAAAAGTAAAGCCAATTAATATCTCCAAACTACACTGTTGGACTTTTGCTCTTTTTTCAGAACCTAAAACTATGGTGGGCCAGAGGGTGTGGGGTTGGAGTGGGGGATGATGGGAAGGAAAGGAAAAGAGGACAGAGTGGGTGCTTGGATTCCAGGTGGTGGTTATGGGGTCTTCCACCTTAAGGTGACAGACAGCCCAGCCCAGGCCTCAGGTGAATGGGGTGGTGAGACTTGGATGTGAGTATCTGGAGGAAGAACTGTTCAGGTAGAGGAAAGAGTAAGTACAAAGGCCCTGAGGTGGTGGGGTGCTTGTTTACTAATAGATCCGCTTGTTAATCCACCTGTGCCCCCTGTCATTAGCTTTGAGTCTCCAAAGATCAGGCAGAGTGGGGCTGGGGTGGAAGTCACATCCTCCCTCCCTGGAGGGCATTCCCCTTTGACCCCGGCAGGCATTTACATGGAGGAGGGGGGAGCAAGCGTTGAATCTCTTGCACTATCTTGAGGACAGGCAGAAAAAGCCAAGGACTGATAGACAGGCTCTGGGCGTTTCAGAGCCCATCAGCACACCCATCCTGTCTCTCGCTTGAACACCTGGAGATCCTGCCCTCACATCCCATCCCCCTCCACTGTCCCCACCATGGCCCCATCCCACTGACTCCCTGGTGAGTTCTGGTGAGAATCTGGGGAGTTCTTTGCCTCTCCCCAGGGGTGGGAGGGACACCAACGCAGTGCTGTGGGTGCCCGGCTCTGCCCAAACACCTGTGGCCACCCCATGGGGTACTTAGGAAACTCCAGCATCTACGTCCCTGGCCTTCTTAGGAGCATAGGGTGATGGGAACTGCATAGCTACTTCCTCTTTGTTACTCCTAAGTCATTTCTGCTTCTCCAGCTGTCTTGCTGACACATAGTCATGCATTTTACTGACTCCAGGCTTTTCTGTTCTTACTAACAAAGCGTAACAGGTTACAGATCCCCCAAACTCACGCCTGGCCATGCACCAAATCCTAGAAGGCCCCCAGGGCAGGTGCAGATCACTCACCCTGACAGCTGCTTCTGACACTACCCCGGGGCCCCGCCGCCCTGGTCAGGTGTGGTCAGGTGCAAGGCTGTGCCCCAGAAGGCCTCTCCCACACAGCCAGGCCCTCCTTGCCTGGGTGAGCCCTTCTTCAAGAGCCCTGTCCTGTGGAGGGAGATGCTGCTGGCTTCTGGGATGATTGGCTGGGGATTAGGCAGCTGGCAGCCATGCAGGGAAGTCCCCAGGGCTGAGAAGAGCTGAGCTGGCTGGGCCAGGCCTGCTTGCTGTCCTTGGCTTTAAGCTCGGTGCTTCTCAAGGGCTGACGCCCAACCCCAGCAGCACCAACATCACAGGAGGCCTCACCCCAGATCTCCAACAGAAACTTTGCGGGTGGGGCCCAGCCATCCCCTGCTCTCGAGGCGATCTCACGGCAGAATGGTGGCAGGAACTCAAAGGGCTGGAGATGGATGACCGTCCAGTGGGAAACCCACAGACAGCCCTAACTCCCCCTCCCTCTCATGTGGCTCCTAGGAAAAGCGGAGATAAACGCGATGGCTTTGGGTGTCCTTGGGGAAGGCTGCAGGGAACTGTGCCCCATTTAGGCGGGGATCGCGCTTCGCCTTGGGCAGGAACCCCACCACCAGCTCTCCCTAAAACGGAAAAAGTTGACGGGGGCGTGTCCGTTGGAACAAACCGCCCTGGGACCCTCCCCCAGCCTCCATCCTTTTCAGGAGCTGGGGTGGGAACTTTGCCAGGCTGCCGCCTTAGGAACTGCAGCCCCGTGGAAGCCGAGACATCGTGTAGCGGTGACATCCCTTTGGGCACACTGGCCTGTCTGCGGGTCCCAGAGGGTCCCACGCGGCCCCTACGGGTGGAGAGAACGGACGCACGCCGTTGGCCACGGCAGCTCCTGCAGGAGCCGGGCCTGCCTAGTGCACGCTCTCCCTTAACTAACCGAGGCTCAGCCTCGTTCGACGCGCAGCCCAAGGCCGCACGGCGGGTGGGAAAGACGGCCGCCTGCGAGGCCTCTTCCCGGAGACCCCACCGCTATCCTGCGGTGGCCGCCCCGGACCTCGAGGACTGCGCCCGGCGATTCGGGAGCCCGGGAGTGCCGGGCCCGCCCTCTGGCTAGCGCCCAATCCGCCTCCCTCGGGCCCGTAACAGGCTCCTCCGGGCGTCCCCGCTGACTCAGCGTAACTCGAGCCGTCGAAGGCGGTGCAGCGGGCAGAGAGCGTCCCGGGTCCCCGCCCCCGACTTTGGACGCCACGCCCACGCCCCGCCCCGCTCCCGGGAGCGCCGGCCGCAGCAGCCGAGCGCCGGGCGGGAGCGAGGCGGCGGCGCGCGGGCGCTCGGGCGCAGCATGACGGCCATCGGCGTGCAGGTAGCCCGGGGTCCACCGGCGCCGCGTGGGGAGGGACGGCACGGCGGGCTTCGCACCTGTTGGGGGTTCCAGCCGCGGGCACGCGCCTCCCGCCTGTTGCAAACCTGCGGGTCTAGGCGACCGTGTGGGCAGCTCCTTAGGCGCCCTCCGCCCCTAGACGCTGCTCCCGCGGCGCGGTCGCCCCCGGCCCGAGCTCGCGGCCCGGCGCGCTCCGAGGCCCCCAGATGTCCGTGGGGAGGATTTTCCCGCTTCCCTTTGGGGACCTCAGTGAGTTAGCTAGAGCCGCGAGGACGGGCAGTGTGTACCTGCAGTCAGGGTTTGCCTGCTGTAATGAGCGACGCGTCTCTTGGGAATCCAGAAAGATTCTTTCCCCTCTAACCGCCTTGGGGGTGTCCGCGCGACTCTGGCGAGGGCCGGCACCGCATCTCCAAAGAGCTGGTTTGCGCTCAGAGTGTGGCAAGACGTTTGTGTTGGCCGGGACCCTCTTCTTGCCTGCCACCCGCGGGCTGGGGGTGGGAGGGCGGCACCGGTACCGCGGACGGGCGAGCTCCTGTGCGCGCCGGCTCGGGGGCTTTGCTTAGGCGTTCTGCACCCGCTGCCGCGCTGGTGCTGGAAGATACTGTTCCGCCCATATTAGAGATGGAGTAAACTGAGGCTCAGAGTGCCCACGGTGGGCAGAGAGGTAACAGAATCGAGATTGAAAGCCAGGACTTCAGGCTCCAAATTCCAGCCGCCCCTTCTTGCTTTTCTCTGACTGGAGGAGCCCAATGCCCAGGCCACCTGCTAGCCAGGACCCGGCCCCCCAGGCCGCCCTGCCTCAGGGTGGGGGTGGGGTGCAGAGAAGGGAAGGGGAGGCAGTGAGCTCCTGTGCTTTGCTGCGGGTGGGTCTCGAATCTGACCAAGACAGGCCCCGACAACGGAGGGATCAGGCGTGGTCTGGGTCCTGGAGGAGCGTACTATCTAGCGAGAGAGAGAGAGAGAGAGAGAGAGAGAGAGAGAGAGAGAGACTTGTAAACAAGGAATGGTTTCGGGAAGTGAGCGCTAAATTAAGAGGTGCAAAAGCTGTGTGCAAGATTAACCTCAGGGGGCAGGAGGAGAAGGACTTTGAGCCCGGGTAAGGAGGAGGAGGAGGGCTGGGAGAGAAGCCAGCAGAGCCCAGTGGTCAGCAGAGGAGGAAGGAGCCGGAGGATGCGGGTGGGAGCCGGGAGATGCCTGCTGGCACAGCAAGTGGCTCTACTCAGAGCTGGGGGCGTCTGGGTGCTGGGCTGGCCTGGTAGTTGCCCTTAGCATTTAGGGGTGCAGAGCCACCTTCTAATAACTCATCATCCTCGCGATAACTGTAAGGTGTGGGTTCTTCCAAAACTCGGTGGAAAAATGGGATGAACAAATAAGTTAATTCTGATGCCAAAATAATTGGAGACTCGTGCATAGGTGTTTTGTAATATGTATTGTCCATGGATTTTTTTGAAGCCCTCACATATGCAAGGATTTTCTGATGTTTTTGCAACAAAATAAACTTTGCGCTCCATTGTCCAGGAGCTGTCCTTGTCTTCTTCCCATTTATAGATGAGGAAACAGCGAAAGAGGATCGAAGACCTTACTAGAGGTCAAACATGGCTAGAAAAGCAAGCAGGGTACTGACTCCTACACAAATTGTGGAAGAAATTTCCAGATGCTGATGATGAGGACAGTGATGGCCCAACCGGGGCGTGGACAGTGTGGGTGCTGGGGGCAGCACATATAGGAGCTGTGCTGAGGGCCTGGGGGAATGAACAAGGAAGTTCACTTAACAGATGCTATTGGTTGAGGGGAACAGGTGAGGTTTTGGGTTATAGGGGAAGGCACAGCCATGGCACTGGACTCAGTAGCCCAGTGGTGTCCAGTGACCCTGGTGTGTGGGTCCCTAGAGATCATTCAGGGTTAGAGATGAAAAAGGGAAAGGGAATGCTTGCTTTATTTTGTTATATTCTGGTTGTTGGAGCAAATCAAGGCCCTTTGAGGATTCGAGTGCTGGCCCCTTCCACTGGCCCTACTTGGCCAGCGACCCTCTGCGGATAGATTTCAGGCCCTGGCTCAGTGAAAGCCAACGGCAGTGTGGCAGCCTGGGCTGAGGAGTTGGGCGGTTAGCAATGGAGACTGGCCCATGGGTTGCTATTGTTCCTAACAGGAGTAGCTCTCTGAAGTGGGAGCTGCCTCTGTGCCAGGCATCTTTATATACCTGATCTCACTTGATAGTGGTGAGTTTTACGGGTGGACAGGGAGTTTCAATGTAGCTGTGCATTGGGGCAAGAGGAAGCCATCTTCTGTGTGTCTTGTCTGAGGGACTGGGGACAGAAATCCAGGCGGTGCCCAAGACAGGTGGGGCTGAGGAAGGGACAGGATGTGCCTGTTTTCCAGACAGCGTGATGTCTGCGGTCCAAGGGTTCCCGGGGAACTGTGGTCTTGTGATCTGTTCCCTGTGTCTGGGGCCCTCCCATCCTGGGACCGTATCCGTCCTCAGGGACGCTGGGACCTCGCCAGGAGCTTCATGGCGACTGCTTTCCTGCCAGTGTCACCAGCCTGGTTTTATAGACGAGAAAACAAAGGTCAAAGAGGTTGAGAAACTGCCCCGGGGACAAACATCTTTATGATTTTGTAGACACCCGGCACAGAGGTTTTCCGAGTTGCCCTCTCCGGCAGGTGCTGTGGCACAGCAGGTCAAACCTCTGCTTGTGATGCCAGCATCCCATAATGGAGTGCCGGTTCAAGTCCCGGCTGCTCTACCTCTGATCCAGCTTCTTGGGAACCGCCCCTGGGAAAAGAGCGGAAGATGGCTCAAGTGCTTGGGCCGCTGCCACCTTCCTGGGAGACCTGGATGGATCCCTGGCTCCTGGCTCTGGCCTGGCCCAGACCTGGCTGTGCAGCTACTGGGGCTGTGAACCAGTGGATGGAAGATACTTTCCTTTCTCTCTCTCTCTCTCTCTCTGCTTTTCAGATAAATAAATAAACCTTTTTAAAGTTTCCTTTGGTTTGTTTCTATATAAATTTTTATTTATTTACCTTCATTTTCTTTGAAAAGCAGAGGGAAAGACAGGCAGACAGAGGTCCTCTATCCACTGATTCATTCCCCCAAAGCCTAAAACGTTTGGCCTGGCCTCAAGCTGGGCCAAGCCAAAGCCAGGAGCCTGGAACTCCATCTGGGTCTCCTGTGTGGGTGTGTATTAGCAGGAAGCTGGACTCAGAAGTGGAACTGGGACTCAAGCCCAGGTATTTCCATATGGAACGCGGGCATCCCAAGTGGTATCTTAATCACTGCTCCAAACGCTCGCACCCGCCTTGGTTCACTTCTTCCCAGTAGGTTCCAAGCACCTTCCCTCATAGAACGCAGTGTAGATTCCTGGACGCCCCGTGCCCTGAGCAGGCAGCAGGGAGCTGCTGGAGTTGAAGTGAGGAAGGGGGCCTAAAGCCAGCCTGCTCAGCTTCCCCAACCCCTTGGGAGCCTCCCCGTCCCCGGAAGCCAGGAGACACAGCTGAGAACCACAGCCCCAACGCCTCCACTGGTAGCCCAGGGCTACCAGTGTCCTGGGCTGCCTTCGCGTCAGGATCCAAGTCAGGTCCTGCTCCTGGTTCTGGCGCATTTCTGGACATCTCCCTCTACTCGAATCCATTTCCTCGCAAGAAACCTCGGGCCCCGCCACAAAGGCCTGGTCCTCAGAAGGCCCTGGTCAGTGTGTAGGAGCTGAATGGTTGTCACCCCCTGCACGTTGCACGATAGTCGAGGCAGCTGGGCCTCACTCAGCTGTGGTGCGGGTGAGTTAGCAGAAAGCCGGATGCTACTAAAACAAAGCAAAGCGAATCCTTCCTCCTGTGTCCCTGGGGTGGAAATCAGTCAGGGCTCCTGTGTCTGTGTTAGGGACAGCCTTGCCATGCCTCTGCCGGCAAGCATCAGCAGGAATGGGGCCTTGTATTGGGGTCTTCCAGAAGATCATGGAAAAGCATTTTATGGAAAAAAAGATATTCATGCTTTGCAATTTTTTTTTGGCACAAAACTCATCTTTTAAGTACATTTCCGTGGATTTTTGAAGCACCATGGTATAGCCCTCGTGGGGAGGGGTGGCCCGGGGGCACCCCATGGTCTGCATTTGTCCATGCTCTGCATTCATAGCAGTGACAGGCACCTGTGAGCTGTCTGTTTTGCTTTAGCTCCTGAACTGGGCTGTGAAGTTGGGGGGCTGCTGTACACACAGCCACGGGCTGCTTGCACGCTTGCGCAGGAGGCTGGGTTTGGAGGGAGCCTGCCATGGAAACAACACAGGTTGTAAACTTGACCCTTCACTAGTCTCAGGACCAACTCTGGAACACCCACTGAGTGCCCAGGTCGCACACTGTGCCAGGGACCCGGCACAGCACACTGTCTAGACGTGGTGGGCGAGGCCACCTTCTGGAACACACAGTGTCCGAGTGAGACAGATGATAACCGCCCCGGAACTGCATGGAGCAAACAGGCTGCCTGGCCGACACCGGGACGGGACCTGCTGAGCACCGAGTGGCAGGAGAGACCTTGCCCAGCAGGGCATGGGTGGCTTGGAGGAGCGGGGATCTGCCGGGAGTCAGTCGGGCGGGGGGGGGGGGGGGGAGAGGAGGCAGAGGAGTGGCAGTCGCATTGTTGTGGCTGAGCGCCGTGGCCAGGGAAAGTGAGCTGGGCAGTGAAAGAGAAGGGGGAGGGCCGTCACTCAGGGCTTGTGGCTGTGTGCCGAGTTTTACCCTCTTTTGCTTTCTGGGTAGGGGGTTGGGAACGGTGTCCCCATGGTGTCCCAGGACTGTGAATTAAGATGCCTCACTGCAAACCTTGCTGTTACCGGTCACAGAGGGGAGGGCGTCTGCTGGAGCAAGTCTCATGGGTTCTTTTCCTCAGCTTAGTATAGAAATAAAAAGCCAGGAAAGAATTTGCAAAGAGGCGGAAACTTTTATTTGATTGGCAAGCGATAGAGAAAGTGTCTGGTCAGAGAGGAGCCCAGGCAGAGTGCCCGAGCGGGACACTGGCTTTGAGGAGGTGTCCCAAGTTTTTAAGGCACTACCGTTTGCTCAATTGGGTCATCTTATTGGGGTACCCATTGGACAGGGGTTTCATGTATGTATGTTGATTGGTTGGGGCTCAAGGAGATAATGGGGGTCTTCTGGAGACTATCTCCTTAGGAGCTCAGCCCCCTCCCCTGCTAGCTCTGGATGGAAAATTGCAACTAACTTGAAGGCATGGTTTAAAATCACAAGACCACACAAGATAGCCAGGGTCTCTTGGAGCCGGTCCAACTCTCCCCAGGGGCTTAGCCCCTTCCCTGCCAGCTCCAAGTGAAAGACTGCACCCACCCTGGAGGTGTGATTTAAAGCCACAAGGTCACACCTGCAGCACAAGAAGCTATGAGTGGGGGAGATGCCAGTTGGCCTGGAGAAAGGCTTTCCAGCCACAGCAGGCAGCCTGCTTGTGCAGGACATTCTACCTATGTCTGAAGGAGCCCACAGACCCCCAGCACAACTGGCCGGCCTCACTTGCCTAGCATGCCAGGACACCCAGGTGGTAGGGCTGCCCCTTGCCAGTGCTGAACCAGGAGCAGAGGAAAGCCACCGTGGCTTCTCCAATGCCTAGACGCTTCTAGAACAGATACTTGGGTTGGTCAGCTCTGGGTGGGGTTCCGGCTGGGCCAGGCTGAAGGGCAAGGTGCAAACATCACTTTCAGCAGTCAGGCAAAGGAACGGGTGACACACACAGTCTCCCAGACTGAGCGTGGCCAGTGCAGCAGCAGGTGGCTCGGACCCAGGAGAAGACCCCTGCGTGCTGCGGAAGGTCCCTGCTCTGTATGGCCCTGCCTTGCAGCCCTGCCAGGCACTGCTCTCGTTTTGTGTGCAAAGCAACCAAGACAGGTTGCCTGCTCAAGGTCACACGAGCCTGGCCGGACAGGATGTCTTTGTCAAGGGCAAGGTTTGCCCGGGTCAGTTGGAATGTTTTGCCCATCATGGGGATTCGTGAAAGGAAGGTAGGTTAGGGAACTCGCAGTGCCGGGTGGGCGCTGGCAGGTGCGGCAGGGTGGGCAGGCCAGCAGAGGCAGGGAGGGCTCCCCTGCGAGCATGGGCAGGGGTGAGGCACAGGGCCCTCCCTGACAACGCTGCTCCCCATGGTGTCTTGCAGGCCCAGAGGCTGTGGAGCCACAGGACGCCCCGCCGGTCCTTCTTCGAGGCCTTCATCCGGACCCTCATCATTACGTGTGCTGCGCTGGCGGTGGTCCTCTCGTCCGTCTCCATCTGCGATGGGCACTGGCTCGTGGCCGAGGACCGCCTCTTTGGGCTGTGGCACTTCTGCACCAGCACCAACCAGAGCGGGCTGCACTGCCTCCGAGACCTGAGCCAGGCCCAGGTGCCCGGGCTGGCCGTGGGCATGGGCCTGGCGCGCAGCATGGGCACCTTGGCCGTGGTGGCCGCCATCTTCGGCCTGGAGCTCCTCATGGTGTCCCAGGTGTGTGAGGATGTCCGCTCACGGCACAAGTGGGCCGCGGGCTCCGTCCTGCTCCTGGTCGCTTTCGTGCTGTCCTCCGGGGGACTGCTGACTTTTGTGATCCTGCTCAGGAACCAGGCCACGCTCATCGGCTTCACTCTGATGTTCTGGTGCGAATTCACCGCCTCCTTCCTCTTCTTCCTGAACGCCATCAGCGGCCTTCATATCAACACCATCACCCAGCCCTGGGGCCGGCCAGGGAAATTCTAGAGCCCCTGCAGGAACATGGGTTCCTACAGGAGTGCACGGCCAACATGGGACTTGTCTAGTGTCACCTCTGGCGGGGATGGGGTGGGACAGTGACCTTGAAGCTGCTGCTTTGAGGCCGCTAACCTTTGGGTGGCCCGGGGCCCCTGCAGCCACAGCTGTGGGTCAGCAGAGCTGGAGGCCAGAGAGGCACCTGCGGGCTACCAGATTCACAGGCTTAGCCACTTTATGAGGATGTTGATTTTAGGAGAAGAAAACCATGTTGCAAGTCTTTTCTTGAGTTTGCCTCCCTGGACTGGAATAGATTTGGGAGCTGCGTGGGTGATAGGTGCCCAGGCTAGCTGCACGGCCAAGTTCACTTCATACCTGTTTTGATTGACCCTGTGCTGGGACAGGCTATAGGGGCCTTCGGGTTGCTAAGAATGGCTTGTTCTTCCGGCAAAGGGACCACTGGGTGCAAGGCTTTCTTCCGGCAGCTCCAAGGGCCTCGATGCACAGGTCGCTAGCCTTAGCTTGGGGCACGCCAGGGAGGCAGCGTGCAGGATTTGCTCTGAGCATCTTGCACATGCCTGTCAGAACCTTTCCGTGGGCAGGCCCTCCCAGGAGGGCCCAGCTGACTTCCAGCTTATATTTGTTTGTGCGTGGCTGTCTTCCATCAGGGCCAGCTGGCCTCGGGGGACCAGTTTTGGTCCTAGAACACATTCCAAAGAGCGCGTATCTGGAGCTGCTGAGCTTTGCAGGGGTGCAGGGAACAGCCAGGCCCTGGGTGATGATTAACAGCTGAGCTGGTCATCAGCAGAGGTGAAGGGACCCGAGCGAGCTGAGATGGCCGCACCTGGCGCCCGGCTGCAGGTTCCTTCCTAATTTGCCCCTTCCCAGCCCAGCAGGAGGTGAGGCTTTGCCCTCCTTCCCTTCCTGGTGAACTCTGCTTTCCACCAATTGCATGGGCTTTTGGTCTCTGCCTTGCCCTTGTCACTGGAGCTCCCCTTTGGGGCTACACCGGGTGCCCATACCTGCCTCCACTGTTTTTCTTTTTTAAGAAATTAAAATAGGGCTTCACTTTTTAAAAATCTTTATTCATATATTTGCTTCAAGAGAGAGAGGGACGGATGGATGGAGACAGAGCCCCACCCACCCACCCACTGGTTCTTTACCTAATGCCCAGGACCTGGGAACTCCGTGCAGGTCTCCCACGGAGATGGGAGGGACCCAAGCACTTGAGCCCTCACCTGCTGCCTCCCCTGGTGTGCACTAGCAGGAAGCCGGCGTCAGAAGCAGAGCCAACGCTGTCTTCACCACTGCACCCAGTTCCCACCCCATTGTGATTTTTTTGTTGTTACTCAAAGTCAGGAGGCAGTGGGGCGTGGCATGTCAGAGTGGCCCCAGAGGTTAACAACCAGGCTATTCATCCATCACCCTCGGCCAGGATAGGTTTTCCTTGGACTCGATTTTTTCCGAGACCAGAGCTCATCAGGCACACAGGCTGGGAAGTGTGCAAGGGGGTGACCTTGTCTCTTTGGGGGAAGGGCAGGGGATGGGGGAGGGGGATCCAGGGCCACCCAGAGCCAGGACTGGAGCTGCCCACCCCGGGGCAAGATGCCTTTTCCTCTTCACCTGCGGGGTTGGGGAAGGGGAATTGCTGCTTCTCTGGCTCTAGATTGCTTCTGCCCCAGCACTGGGTGTTTAGGTTTTGTAAAGGCACTCCTGTATTTTGCCCCTCCACCCTCACGTCCCGCAGGGAGTGCAGCTTTGAAATCCATGGGCATGACGGCTCTTCAAAAAGTACATGGAAAATGCAGACCATGAGAAAACAAAAGGATGCATGGATTTCAATTTTTTTTTCTGCCAGGATAACTTCTGATTCCATCGTCCACGAAGTTTCATGGAGCACCCTCCCCCATTCATCCAAGGGAGCTGAGAGCCACAGTTAGGGGTGAGACAGACATCCCGAGGAGCTTAGTGGAGGTGGGGAGACAGGCGCCTATCCCACGCCTGGGATAAAAGACCTTGGACTGCACGTCTGCCAACCTCATGCCGTAGCTTGGGCGAGTCACAGGGCCTTGGCGAACCCATTCATCTGTGAAATGGGATCATGCCCCCTGTCCTGCTGCACCTGCAGCCAGGGACCCTAACAGGGAATCCCAGCCCCACCCTGGCCTCCACTGTGACTTGATCAGGTCGTCCCAAAGGCTGTCGTCCCAGAGGGCTGGAAAGGTGAGTTGCAGTGGGGGACAGACAGGGCCCGCCTGGGGTGTCTATGTTTGTCCCAGAATGTGAGCCGAGACCGGGGCAGCCCCTTCCTTTCTCCAGCAAAGAGTCAGGGTGGCAGCCGTGCAGCCCCTCGCCTCTTGCGTCTCAGGGCTGAAGGACTGAGGACAGCCACAGACCAAATCTTGCCCTGAGTGCCATTTCCTCGTCCCTCTCTGGGACCCTTGGACTGCCCTTCCCAGAAGAGCACAGACGGCCAGGGTGGCCTTCCACCCATGTGCCCCAAGTGCCTTCTGCTCAGTTCTAAGGACTCCAAGGCCTGGGGGGGGGGGGGGGTCCCAGCCTCAGGAGAGCACTGGGTGTCTGGGTGTCCATAGCAATCTCCAGCTCCCTCAGCCCCGCTCTGGGCCTCTCAGATGATGCTGACCCTGCAGGTGTCCCGGCTGCGCCCCGAGGGGCAGGCCTTGGTGCTGTTGAGGCTGCTGGTGCCGTTGCTGAAGGAGGAGCTGAGGGCCACAGGGCAGAGCGGCGGCTCCCAGAGGTGCCACTGCTGCCACTTCTTCTGAACTTCTAGCTGCACCTGCCGGAGGCCACCATCAGCCAGGGAAGAAAGGACAGGCCCCGGGCCTGCAGCCCACGCAATCCCTGGGGGCCTCTGCCCAGCCAGTCTGGGGTCCTGTCACCTGCAGGCCGCTCGGGTTGACCATTTCCGGCCTCGGTGTCTAGAAGATACTGAGTACCTGCCACCCCGTTACACTGTGTTCCAGGACCGGCCCTGTGGTTTGTTTTCCCAGAACACGCAGACCCACGCAGGACCCCTGGGTGCTTATTTGCATGAGGCCGCCCCAGCTGGGAACCTGTCTGGAAGCCAAGGGTCTGCTCTGTGGAAATTTCCTCCCCAGTCCTCAGCTGGAACAGCCAAACCCTTGAGGCTGGGCTTGGTGCTTGCTTTCGGAAAACACCGGGGTCACTGCCATTGGAGTGTGGTGAACCCGATAGGAGGCCAGCCGTCAGCACTCCAGACGCGCACGCGCACACATACAGGCCCGGCTGGTGATCGAGGACACATTCAGCCAGTGTTGGTAACGCGGCCTCCATGGGGCCTCGCGTCCTGACTCCAGTGCTCCACGCAAGGCGGGAGTCCTTACGGTGCTGTGCTGAGGACAGGCAGCCAGTGCTGCTGAGTCACCCATTTCTCATCTGAGAAGACTGAGGCCGCCCACTGAGGAAGCATCAGGGCAGTCAGCCTCTGGGATCTGGGTGGAGTGCTTACATTCGCCCATGGCTAAGAGTCACCTGGAGCAAACTTGTGCAAATACATGTTCCCAGGCCCTACGGGTGATTCTGCTGCCCCCAGGGAGTGCGCTCAGCCCCCTGGGAGACCAGCCTTGCCCCTTGCACCCACGGCCCCAGCTCCTCTTCCCCCTTTTATATGCATCTTCCCACCACCCTTTCCAGGCAGCTCCTCCTGATCAGGAATCCAGGGGCACCCCCAAAACACTCACCTCCCCGTTGAGGAAGCAGTAGAGGACGGCGACCACCAGCCCCTGTAGGAGGCGTGGAGGGGCACGGGTTAGCACAGGGGTTCAGCCTGGGCCAGGACAACCAGGCCTGGGGCTCATTCTTACAGCTCAAGTCCACAGCCCCCACTTCTCTGAGCTCAGCGGGTATTAGGGCCATCTCTGCCCCCCCCCCATACACAGCGCCCCTGGCTGGGCCTGCACCACCCAGCACCGATGGAAAGTCCCTCTCATCTATTCCTCTCCCAACCCCGTCCAACACAGAGCCTCAGGTGCATGTGGGTGGGTGGCGTCAGCGATAGTAAAGGAAGGGCGGCTAACCAGGGGGCCGCAGGGAGTGGCAGCAGCTGAAGTTCGCCCCGCTCCATCAGGAGGCGCAGGACGAGCCCAGCAGGAGCCCCTGGTGGAGGTTTCCAAATTAGCTGGACGTCTGGAGAACGTGGACAACCAGTTCACACAGAGACAAACTGCGCAGGCAGGGCCAGCCGGCCAGCAATATATAAGCTGGCCCTGCCCGCTTAGTGGACAGGTGCAGGCACTGCCATGGTCACGGCTTTATGTCCCCAGGCTTGCAGCGGTCTGGGCCTAGCAGGACCCTCCCTGCTGGTACCTGGGGTCCCCGGGGAGCCCTACAGGCCTATAGACCATGAGCTTCCGGCTCTGCTCGCCCCCTCGCAGGGCCCCACTGCAGCCACCTGCCCTTCCCACAGGCCTAAGTCCTGGCCTCTTGGGCAGTGAGCACCTCCCCCACCACCACCAGGCCCAGGTGAACAGCCCTGACCTTGGGCGGCCCAAAGCCTCCTCTGTGCAGGCCAGCCCTTCACCTCTACCTTCAACAGGATCCTTGAACCAGCCTCTATGGAGCGCTTAACCTAAAGGCTCCTGCTATGGGGTGCTGGCACTCTTAAGAGTCAGGGCCAAAACCCGAAGGGGCTGCTTTAAATGGCAGGTGTGCAAGGGCCACTGGCTCCGAGCAGGTGCGTGTCCGAATCTTGGGGTCAGGTGTGAGAGAGCCCCAGACAGTGCCAATGACCATCGCTGTCCAGGGAGAGGCAGGGAAAGGCATTGACAGGCAGGATGTGCAGCGATGCTGGGCCTGAACAAAATGGCAGGATTCTGGGTTCTGGGCCAGCAGGGCCCCAGTGTCCAGGAAGGGAGCTGAGTCACAGGGGGGTTGGCAGGCCTGCGGCTCTGTGAGCCCCTCTGCGGAGGCTGCTGCCTGTCTCCTGGGACCAGGGTCACTAGGGGGCCTCCGCTGCCTGGGGCCCTGAATCAGCAAAAGTGAGCTGTGGTCCAGGTGGCCATGCAGGCTCACTGGCTAAGAGGAAAAGCGTCGTGGGTTCCCTAGGGAGACCTAGGGGGTGGCCAGGGTTCTAGACCGAGGGGATCAGGCATGCGAAGGTGTGGGGAGCCCAAGACCTGACTGCTCAAGGATGTGTTCCGGGTGACGCATTCTCCCAGAGCCTGTGAGTGACAGGAGGACCCCAGCACACCTGCCCTGAACTTAAAATGATGGCAGGCTCTGTGGGACACTGGTGTGTGGACATTGTTGAGGACAAACTAACTCAGGTATGAAAAGCCACTGGGGGAGTTTCTGTGTGGTCCTAGAGCCTATTATCACAGGGCTTTCCCTGGCAATTGGTTTTCATCCAAAGAAAGGTAAATCTTGAAGCAGACTTGGCTGTCTTTCTTGGGCCACTGGGAAGCTCCAGGTCAAATTTATGACCCGTCTCGACCACCTTTATCAGACTTGATCAAACTTGTTTCTGTGTTATGAACTCAACTTGGCTTTTTACTCTTTTCTCTCTTATCCATCATCTACTTATTTATTTTTTGTCTTTTATGTTTTTCCCCAAAGCGACTTCACATTATTTTTGAAAGGAAATAGTTATAAGTAAATAAACAGTGACCGGTGAAGTTTGGGATTTGTATTAAGGCTCCCTTCTGTCTGAACAAGGCTCCTTTTTGTTTTTTAACCTCAAACTATTTTGTTGAGTTGGTAGGTGATACTGCAGCTCTTTCTGTTTTTGAAGGGGGTTTTAATCTTTAATAAGTTGTGTACACATCTGGTTTTAAAGGGTCAAATAATTCTTGTTACAAAACCCCACAGCCTCCTGCAGCCCCGCCCCCGCCCGTTTCCTGTTCCCCAGAGGCCAAGGCTTGCAACTCTCTTAACTGATTCTAAGTAATCTGCTGATTTGGCCGCTGGGGGTTTTGCAGTCTGGGGCATTTTCCATGGACTTCCCAGAGCGATGAGGAGCGTGTCATGCTTCACGCACCGCCCCTCGGCGCACGCAGGGCCCGGCCTCCTGCTGGCCTTGGTGGTGGCTGGGCCCTCAGCGCTGACCTCACCCTGACCACGCTACCCTGGTGACAGCTGCCCCACACACTGTGCGCAGGCAGGGGTCACCTGTCCATTCAGAGGTTTATCTCACAGCCCCGGCCCTGTGTGATGCTGGGGACCATGCGGCCCACCCAGAGTGGCCCAGCACAGGCAAGCTCCCTGCTGTGTCCCCCCCCCCCCCAAGTCCCCTTCCCAGCTACTGCTGCACTCCATGGGGCTTGCAGGGCCTCCGGCCTCTATTTCTAAGGAGAGAGAGAGAGAGAGAGAGAGAGAGAGAGAGAGAGAGAGAGAGAGAGAGAGAAAGAGAAAGAGAGAGAAAGGAGAGAGGAAATGAGTCCCTGTTTCAGCTGCAGTCATCCCTAGGCTTACCTGGAATGAGCCGAGGGCCAATTCGAAAAACAGCTGGATCTCCATGGCGCCCTCGGGGGAGAAGACAAAGACGATGTAGTGGACACCGAAGAGGGGGATCAGCAGGAGGGTGGACCTGGCCAGACGCCTGGGGACACAGGGACACCCAGACATCTCCTGCCTGATGCCTTGAGGGCTCGGGAGCAGTGTCCCCAACTTCTTTGCTGTCACTTCTCACCTGGCAGAGTTTTCTATCCTCCCCGCACGCATCACCAGATCTGACACTGACCAACTCCATGGACAATCCCACAACGCTGCTCGGGTACCTCTCCCAGTACAGAAGAGGGGAAAGTGCCCACCCAATGACTCCATTCATATATTGTGGGTCTGTATTTTTGCCATGCTGTTTCTCATTGAAAAAAGTCCGCTTTCTTCTTCGTTAAGTAGTACGGACCTGTAAGAAGCTCTGCTATTTTTTTCCCCATGCAAGGGTTGCCAAGTTTATTTTTTAATTTGAAAGGCAGAGAGACAAGAGATCTCCTATGTGTGGATTACTTCCCAAATGCCCACAACAGCTGGGGGCTGGGCCAAACCAAAGCCAGGAACTAGGAACTCAATCTGGGACTCCCCTGTGGGTGGCAGGAGCCTCACTGCCTGAGCCAACACCTGCTGCCTCCCAGCGTGCACCTTAGAAGGAAGCTGCGATGCAGGATGGAGCTGGGACTTGACCCCAGGTGCTCTGGTATCAGATGTGGGTGTTCCGTGCCAAATGCCTTCCCCAGGGTCAACCAATTCAGCAATAAAAATATAGGATTAGGCCGGCACCTCAGCTCACCAGGCTAATCCTCCGCCTGCGGTGCCGGGTTCTAGTCCCGGTTGGGGCACCAGTTCTGCCCAGGTTGCTCCTCTTGCAGTCCAGCTTTCTGCTGTGGCCCGGGAAGGCAGTGGAGGATGGCCCAGGTCCTTGGGCCCTGCACCCGCGTGGGAGACCAGGAAGAGGCACCTGGCTCCTGGCTTCGGATCGGTGCGGCGTGCCGGCTGTGGCGGTCATTTAGGGGGTGAACCAACAGAAGGAAGACCTTTCTCTCTGTCTCTCTCTCTCACTGTCTAACTCTGCCTGTCCTATATATATAAATAGGATTGAGGTGGGTGTTTGGCCTAGCGGTTAAGATGCACACAGTGCCTGGCTTCGATTCCCACCTCTGGCTCCTGACTCCCAACTTCCTGCTAATGCAGACCTGGGGAGGCAGCAAGCGATAGTTCAAGAAATTGGGTCCTTGACACCCATGGGAAGACCAGGGTTGAATTCCCAGCTTCTGGCTTCAGCCTGGGCCAGCCCCAACTGTTGAAGGCATCTGGGAAATGAACCAGAAAGTGAGAGCCTTCTCTCTCTCTCTCTCTCTCCGCATTTCAAATAAATTTTTTAAAAAACAAAAACAGGATGCTCAGTTAAATTTGAATTTCAGATACACAAGGGAGACTTTTTTTGGCTATAAGTACTCAAAAAAAAAAAAAGCCCAACTATTTGTTGTTTATCTAAAATTGAGATGTAAATGGACCTCCTGTGTTTCTTCTGGCAATTTGGTGGCTGGTCCCCAGCTCCACCCCACCTTGCACACTCCGGCTGGCCCCTGCCAGCCCCCAGGGCTGTGTTTCCTGAAAACCCTGCTTATGGCAGCCCCAGCCCTCTCACACCTTTCTCTGCAGCATCTGAAGACTTCCAAGTATTTTTGGATTGCATATCTCCTGGAAAGATTGATGAAAGCTGTAGCCACTCTCCCTCAAACAATACACATTCCCTGAGGTCCAAGGCTCCCCAGCCTTGCCCCAAGGGTACAGAGGATCTCGGCTCCGAAAGGCCCCCACCCCACCCCCTTCACACAGCGTCTCGGGCATCACAGTCAGACCCGTTCCCCTCCCCCTAACCCCGTGACCCTGTCACCTTGGAACTAGATCACACTGTTTTCTTTTTTCCCCATCTCCCAGAGCCAGCAGTGGCTGGGTAAACAGTAGGCGGCTAGCCAATGCCTGATGATAGACTGACTGACAGAGCATACTGCCCTCCACATACTTGTAATGGTTCATGTCTTGTCCTCTTGTTTCCTGGGTTCTGAGTTTTCTCGTCAGGATTCTTAGGATGTTTATAAAGAGGACGAAGTTAATCTGCAAAACAGGAGGCCAGGATGAGACTGAGGGGGTCTGATTGCTGGGCGCCTATTCTGCGGACCTGTGACCAGAGTAGGCACTGCAGGCACCACTGTGGCCTTCCGAAGTCCTGGTGAGACAAGGGGTCTGGGGGCCGTGGCTGCCTCCCCTGGGCTGCTCCGGATCTGCTCAGTTGCAGAGCTGAGTACTCTATGGACTGGCCCCCGCCGGGCTGCCGAGTCCCCCTGCAGGTCTGGTTAACATGCGCGTCTGGCTCCGAGTCTGCTTCCCAGACATGTGCGAGGTGACAGCTGCTGCACAGCATTGAGTCTTAGAGTTCAGGGTACAAAAGGCAGGCGCTCCACCCTGCAGGTTATGGTTCAGCTAATCTGGCCAGGAGCCCAAGACTTCTCTTGTGTCACAAGCTCCTGGGGTGCGGGTGGGGGAGGGATACAGAAGCCGCTGGCCTGTGGGCCACGCTTTGAGAACCACGGCTTCACAGTCTAGTGGAGTCGGTTTGCAGCTCAGTCACCAGCTCCAGGAAGCCGCCTGGCTTACCTCCCTTCCGTGACTCACTGTATTTAGGACTGATACTGAAGCATCCTAAAGGACGGGGCAGGCATTTGGCCCGGTCTTCCACACTGGAGTGCTCGGGTTCGAGTCCTGGCTCCAGCTTCCTACTAATGCAGACCCTGGGAGGCGGCAGTGATGGCTCTAGTGTTTGAGTCCCTGCCACCCATATGTGCTCCCAGCTCCTGGCTGCTGTGGGTGCGGACATTTGGGAACTGACCCAGCGGGTGGGAACTCTTGTTTCTGTCTGTCTCTGCCTCTCTGCTTCGGAAATAAGCTCCCAGGTGACGGGCAAAGGCAGCCAGGGTTGCAACCTGCTGAGGTCCCTGTCCTTGCCCACAACAGTCACTCCCAAATCTTTGCCTAGAGGCACGGCTTAGCCCCCACTGCTGAGACCACAGCCCCACCCAGCTGTCCCCAGCCGGACCCTGCCTCCTCCTGTAACCCCAGCTCAATAACTCAGGTTAACAAGAGAACACTTAGTGGGGGGGAGGAGACCGGCAATGACCAGGCTCAATCTGCACCGTGGAGAACTCAGCCAGTGGGAGGCAGCCAGTTTAGAGTAAGGAGCTTGGCCCCTTCCAGGACCAAGAAGAGGGAGGTCTGTAAGCATTGACCTCCTGCCTGCCACTCACCCCACTCCCGCCCTCCATTGGCTAGGGGGCGGAGCTTCCAGACCACAAGCTGCAGTCCACCCTGGAAGCTGGCAGCCCGCTGGAAGCCAGCCGGAAGCTGGTGGGTCATCCCTGTGGGCATTGGGAGCCTAGTGTGGGGCCAGAGACCCCCGGGGACCAAGCTCTGTTTCTGTCTACCCCAGTGACCCCAGCTCGGAGGAGGACGACCACTCACCAGGATGGAGAGGATCACAGGCCCTCGAATGACCCACCAGATGGCCGCGTTGGCGTTGATGTCCCAGCACCTACGGGAAGGGCCCCCAGGGTTGGTTAGGAGTAGGGAGCTGGGCTGGCCGGTCAAGGCCCAGTCCCTGAGCTGGGCCATGGCATGAAGCACCTGCGCCTATGGCCCTGAGCCCCGGCGTACAGCCACCTGTCCCCGTGCACACAGGCAGGAACGCGGGAGCCCACGACCCTGGATCCCAAAGCTGGCTCGTTGTCAGGATTCACTGTGGGGCGTGGTGTCACACTCAGCTGCTACCAGAGGCCAGACAGATGGCATCAGGGAGTGAAAGGTCCGGGAACTGGCCTATGACCCCTGCACGCAGGAGCCTTAGGCCTGTGGGGAGCTGGCACACTGAGAGCCTGTGCCTGGTCCAAGGCTGCTGGAGCCCTGCTCTGGCTGATCTTTGTCAGAAGGGAAAATGAGAAATGTTAATAGATTCCTGTGTTTTTCTAGAGAGGTAAAAAATTCCTATTGTTTTGTTGTTGTTGTTGTTGTTTTGTGTTTTTTTGTTTGTTTGTTTGTTTGTTTTTTTACAGGCAGAGTGGATAGTGAGAGAGAGAGACAGAGAGAAAGGTCCTCCTTTGCCGTTGGTTCACCCTCCAATGGCCACCACGGCTGGCGCGCTGCGGCCAGCCCACCACACTGATCCGATGGCAGGAGCCAGGTGCTTCTCCTGGTCTCCCATGGGGTGCAGGGCCCAAACACTTTGGCCATCCTCCACTGCCTTCCCGGGCCACAGCAGAGAGCTGGCCTGGAAGAGGGGCAACCGGGACAGAATCCGGCACCCCGACAGGGACTAGAACCCGGTGTGCCGGTGCCGCAAGGCGGAGGATTAGCCTAGTGAGCCGCGGCGCCAGCTCTATTGTTTTTTAAGAAGCAACACCATGGCGTAGTGGGCTAAGCCCCTGTCTGAGGTGCCAGCGTCCCATATGGGTGCTGGTTTGTGTCCCGGTTGCTTCTCTTCTGATCCAGCTCTCTGCTGTGGCCTCGAAAAGCAATAGAAGATGGCCTAAGTGCTTGGGCCCCTGAACCCACATGGGAGACCCGGAAGAAGCTCCTGGTTTCAGATTGGCTCAGCTCCGGTTGTTGTAGCCATTTGGGGAGTGAACCAGCAGATAGAAGACCTCTCTCTCTCACTCTCTCTGTAACTCTACCTCTCAAATAAATAAAATTAAAAAAAAAAGCAAATTCACCCAATTAAAACATTTTACTATAGCCCTGACCTCTTATCTAAGTTTTTGCTTCCTAAGGTTTCAGTCAAAGGCAGTCCAAAGTTAGCACATCAAAAACTGCAGAAATCAACCACGCAGGGTTTAAACTATGCACCACTCTGAAATAGGCAGGCATACAGGTTAAAATCTATTAGGTTTGTGAGCTGGAAGACCACGCCTTCACCACGCCCCTGTGTGACCTCACGCCCTACCTGATACCTTCACCACGCCCCTGTGTGACCTCATGCCCCTACCTGGCCAATCAGGTTAATTAACCACTCTCCTTTGGAAGTGGGTTAAACACCTGGGACAGGGTGTGTCCGTCCTTCTCTTCTTTCCCCTGGCCTCTTGCCAAGAGGGAGCTGGCTGTAGCCCTGCGCCTCCAGGGCACGTGGCCTTCAGGCCAACCCTCTCTATGCTTCCTGGCCTGGATACTCTTGCATGTGGCTGGTTCCTGGTACTCGGTATAAACCCAGATCTACCCCTCTCTCTTAGATAGAGCTCTCACTCTCCTATGAATCTTTCTCACTAAATAAAAGCTTAAAATGTACCATGCTGCCTCGTTTATTTACGCCGGTATTTAGAATTCTTCTCTAAATATTAGGCAACAACCCTCTCGGGCTTACTAATATTGGGGATTTAGTAATAAGCATATGGTGAATTCGTATGGCACCCCAGATTCCGGTAACATATGTGGTACCCCAGATGGAAATTCTGGGGAACTTTAAGGGGCCAGATTTTCGTATATATTTTAGGGGGGTCATTTCTGATATCATTTGTAGAGGGACAAACCCTAGAACTGACCTGCGGCCTCCTGCCAGGACAACAATCATCCCATTGTCCCTGGTATCCGCCCTGTATAGGCTACCTGCCCGCCGGCTACTCACTCATGGGGTATTGCAGTGTTTGTGTTCAAGGACTGTTTATTTTGCCTGATAGAGGCCCTGAACAGCAGTGATGCTGTGCATTTTATAAGTTATTGCTGTCACTGCTGTTTTATTATTGTTCACCTCTTACTGTGCCTGCCTTATACATTAAACTTTATTTAGGAATGAATATTCAGGAAAAAGCACAGCATTCATAAGAGTTGGGCATCATCCCTGTTTCAGGCATCCGTGGGGGTCTTGGAAGGCGCCCTCCCCTCAAGATAAGGAGACTATTGTGTTTTGAAACAACAGCTTTGAGCTGAACTTGGACTACAATACACGTGCAAGCGCCTCCACCTCACGCCCTCACCGGACGGGTCTTTATGCTCTTGAGAAACTGACTCCCACTCTGTCATGTCGGCCCCCCTTCTCCCCTGGCTTCTTCCAAGCTGGGATCCCATGTGCCCGCCTCCAGAGGGGCCCCCAGGGCTTTATCCGTGCCCTCAGCATCTCACTCCTTTAGAAAATGACACTAGACATCAGTTTTGTCCCCATCGGTGCCACACTGAGGAGTGGAGTGGCTCTGCAGGGCCTGGACCCCCCATGGGGAAGGGAGATCCCAGGACGAAGGCGAAGCTGGACTGATGCTTCCCCATTGAGCAGCACCTGCCTGCCGTCCCGCAGCTCCTGCCTGTTCCTGACCTGAGCACAGGGCCGGCAGGGAGCCCGCGAGGGCGCAGGTGCGGCCGAGGCTGCTGGGCCCTTCTGCAAGCTCACGCCCGGGGAGCGGTGGGCATTACTGCAGGAAGGAGAGCTCTCCTGGGTCGTGCTGAGGATGTCCCTCTGCTGTCTGGAAACCTGGACGGTGTCAAGTGCACTCCCTGCCTCTGCAGCAGCTTACCCAGAGTCTTCCAGAAAGTGCCTGGTGACAGCCCACGAAGTCACAAACATGGCTGGGGAACCTGAGGAGGAAGCGCCAGAGGACAGGCTGAGAGAGGACTCAACTTTCTTGTATTTTTTTTTAAGTTTTTTTTTAAATTTTTTTGACAGGCAGAGTGGACAGTGAGAGAGAGACAGACAGAGAGAAAGGTCTTCCTTTGCCATTCGTTCACCCTCCAATGGCCGCCACGGCCAGCGCGCTGTGGCCGGCACACCGCGCTGATCCGAAGGCAGGAGCCAGGTGCTTCTCCTGGTCTCCCATGGGGTGCAGGGCCCAAGCACTTGGGCCATCCTCCACTGTACTCCCTGGCCACAGCAGAGAGCTGGCCTGGAAGAGGGGCAACCGGGACAGAATCCGGCGCCCCGACCGGGACTAGAACCCGGTGTGCCAGCGCCGCTAGGCAGAGGATTAGCCTAGTGAGCCGCAGCGCCAGTCCTTTCTTGTATTTTTTTTTAAGATTTCTTTTTTTATCTCTCTCTCACTCACTGTCCACTCTGCCTGTCAAAAAAATTTCTTTTTTTAATTTTTTTTAAGATTTATTTATTTATTTATTTGAGAGGTAGAATTACAGAGAGAGGGAGGGAGAGAGAGAGAAGTCATCCACCCGCTAGTTCACTCCCCAAATGACCGCAATGGCTAGAGCTGGGCCAATTTGAAGCCAGGAGCTTCTTGTGGGTCTCCCACGCAGGTGCAGGGGCCCAGGCACTGGGGTCATCTTCCACTGCTTTCCCAAGTGGGAGCTGGATCAGAAGTGGAGCAGCCAGGACTCAATGTGGCGCTCATGCGGGGTGCTGGTGTCACAGGCAGCTGCTTCACAACACCAGCCCAGGACTCCACCCTCAACACGTGGACAAGCAACAAAGCAGCTGGTTCTCCCAGCCAGGTACTGAGCAGGTGCCAGGATTGGTTTCCATGGAAACCCCTCTGCCATGCTGGGACAGTGTGTCAGTCATGTGCTTCAAGGGTGCCAGGGGTGCCCTGGGAACTGGGGCAGGAGACAGGGTGGTTAGAACACAGGAAGGTTTGGAAGTCTGGATAAGACATAGATGAACACCCCAGGTAGGTGGTGCTACCCTCGTAGCCAGCATGTATCCTGCCACCTCCTGCCAGGATAGCAATCATCCCATGATTATAACAGAGTTATAATCTGGAGAAACAGCCAAGGGCCCAGGACTGTGTTGTAGTGGATAAAGCCACCACCTGGGACATTGCCATTCCATATGGGCACCAGTTTGAGTCCCAGATGCTCCACTTCTGATCTAGCTCCCTGCTAATGCACCTGGGAAAACAGTGGAAGATGGCCCAAGTGCTTGGGACCTTGCACCTATGTGGGAGACCTGGAGGAAGCTTCTGGCTCCTGGCTTTGGCCTGGCCCAGCCCCAGCCATGGTAGCCATTTGGGAAGTGAATAAGTGGATGGAAAACCTCGCTTTCTCTGTAACTCTGCCTTTCAAATAAGCAAAATAAATCTTTTAAAAAAGAAACTGCCAGGGAGAACTGGGGCTCCAGCCCAGTGAGTGTGTGTGTGTGCATGTGCATGTGTGTGTGGGGGGGTGGTACTTGGCTAAACACAGGAATGAGGTGATGGTCTCCACCTGTGCTGTCCAGGTGTAGTGTTTGAATGAAGGAACGTAAAATATATCATCCACAATCTTTACATTGGTTACACATTGAAATAATACTATATTGGTTGTAGTGGGCAAAGTAGAAAATATTGAAATGAATTTCACCTGTTTCCTTGTCCTGCATTTACTAGAAATTTTTAACTCCTGTATTGGCTCATGCTCAGTATTTTATAAGAAATTTATTTATTTGAAAGGCAGAGCCACAGAATGAGAGAAGGAGGGAGGGAGGGAGGGAGGGAGGGAGAGAAATCGTCCATCTACTGGGTCATTCCCCAAATGCCCACTAACAGCCAGTGCTGGGCCAGGTCAAAGTCGGGAGCCATAAACTCTACCCACGTCTCCCCCATGGATGGCAGGGACCTAGGTACTTGGGCTGTTTCCCACTGCTTGCTAGGAGCATCAGCAGGAAGCTGGATCAGAAGCAGAGCAGCCAGGACTGGAATGGACACTTCAATATGGGATGCTGGCGAGGCAAGGCGGAGCTTAACCTACTGTGCCACAGTGTACCCTCACTCCATTCAGTTCCTAATGGACACGCCCATCTATGTGCTGGACAACACCAGACCTGGCGTGGGCATCCAGCTTGGCATGCCCACAGCCATTCTGGCTGCAACCACTATCTCGTCCTTTAGGTAACCCTGCCAGTTATCCCAAACCCTTTGGTTAACAAAGTCATTAAGATAACGTACCACTCTTATCAGACACCTGCAAGGTTAACATTTCTTGAGAGAAAGTCCACGTGCCCTCGGTGAGCCACGGGCTGCCTTTCTCTAAGAACCCTCTTCCTCCTGGATCTCATAGCGTGGGCTGTCTTGCAGCCGCCCAGAAGGCCCTGGGAGATTACGCTCTGTGTAAGCCTGGATTTCTCTGCCTCTTTCTTTGGTCTCACAGGCCCTTCTGCCTTTGGCCTCCAGGTCTGCCCAAACATCTGGCCCCTGGGCTATTCCCTAGCCCCCACCCCAGGTCGGGGATTAAACAGTTCTTCTATGAACGGCCCCCGTCCCCAGAGCCTATAGATAGCAAGGCTGGGGACCCCCAACACACGCAGGGGCCACTTCCAGCCCAGTCTGCCTGGAGAGACACCCCCACCCCCACCCCGAGCTTTGAAGTGGCTCGTTCTTAAATACGAACAGGCAGCCAAGGTCACCCATGGCTGATTACATAAATGACTAAGACCAAAACAACTGCAGAAAAGGAACTGGGGGGAAACAGGCCACACGGGGAGCAGGAGGAACCGGAGCAGGAAAGCTTGCGTCTCGGAGGCTGGAGCAGGAAGCTGTGAACAGGGAGCATTCAGGAACCAGAAAGAGGGCCTACACGGGGGATAGGCACTTCAAAACGCCCATGGGAGAAATGAACAAAAAGACACGCTGGGATGGGCATTTGGCACAGTTAAGGTGCTGCTTGGGACACCCACGCCCCATATTAGAGTGCCTGGGTTCAAGTCCTGGCTCCTCTCCCCCTTCCAGGGTACTAACTGTGCACCCTGAGAGGCAGAAGGTAACAACTCAGATAGCTGGGTCCCTGTGACCCATGTAGGAGATCCAGGCTGCGGGTTTCAGCCTGGCCCAGCTCTGGCTGTTATTGGCGTCTGGGGAGTAAGCTGGCACACTGAAGATCTCTCTCTGGCTTTCAAGTAAAATGAAGATAAAAATTTCCAAATTGTTAAAGTTCAGTAGATGATAGAGGCAGGTGTTGTGGCGCAGAATGCAGGCTGCCACTTGGGACACCTGCATCCCTATTGGAACGCCTGCTTCCAGTGCCAGCTGCTCCACTTGCAACCCAGCTACCTGCTAATGCACATTCTGGGAGGCAGCAGCTGACAGCTCAAGTAATTCAGACCCAGACGGAATTCTGTGACCCTGGTTTTGACTGTTGACAACATTTGGGAAATGAATCAGTGGATAGAAGATCTCTCTCTGTCTCTCTCTCTCTCCCTCTGTCTCCCCCCCACTTTCAAATCAATAAAAAATAAATAAATGTATTATAAATAATTCAATAGTTGCATCTGGAGATAAAGACAGAATCTCTCAGAAAACAGAACAACCAGAGTAGAATGGAGAGGAGGGAATTAGAAAATCAAAGGTTGAGTCCAGGATGTGCACCACCTGACTGAAAAAAGAGAATAAAAGGCAGATGGAAACAAATAATCAAATAGATAATGTAAGAAATTCATTTCAGGAAGTGAAGGGCACACGTTTCCTGGTGAAAGGGCTACCAAGTGCCAGCAAAATGGATGAGAAAAGACCTCACTCAGAGCACATCTGTGCGACAGTTCCAAAACAGAAGATCCTGCAATTCAGAGAGGTGAGTAAAAAGGCTCAGGAAGCAGAATGCGCGGTAGAATGATTTTTGGACCTGATGTTCTATGCATGCCCAGCAAACTGACAAGTTGGGTATGAAAGTGTAATGAAGATAGTTCCAGACATGTCGTGCAAAAGATGTCCCTTCTAGGTTCTGTTTGTAGAACAGAAACCGAAGGATGTGCTCCAACACAATGAGAGTGTAAACCACAGAAAGGGAGCCAAGAGATAAAGGCAACATGATTTGCAGGAGAAGGTGAAGGGAATTCTAGCATGATGGTCAAGGGGGCTGAGTGAGTTTAGAGAAGAACCAGGCGCCACCAAGCCAGAGGGCAGAGAAGAGCTCTAGAAAGAACAGCGGCAGGCATACTGAGTGCAATGGTGTTCCCCCAAAATTCACACATATACCCTGGACTCAGTCTGTGACCTTATCTGGAAACAGGATCTGTGCTGATGTAATGAGTTCAGAGGCAGTCACACTGGAAAGAAGGTGGGCCCCTGCTCCAATATGACTGGCACCTTCACAGGCAGGTCATCACAGACACACAGAGAGGAGACAGAGCAGAAGGATTCAACACAAGCCAAGGAATGCCAACGATAGCCAGCAGTCACAAGAGGCGCGCGCTCTCTCTCTCTCTCTCTCTCTCTCTCCATGCCTTTCAAATAAAATCAAAACAAGTTTGAAAATGTAAAACGAATCTTTGTGGAAGGCTTGAAATAACACGGAATCTGCTTATGTGTTCATCAAGAAGACGCAGATTTACAGTTCTATACTTGGGGTGATCATGGGGATGGGGTGGTAAGTGGGGCAGGGAACTGTAGGTAGAAGAAAAGGCTGGAAGGAGATCCCAGAAGATGTTCCATCTATGGGACTAGGGTAATTGTGGGGTTTTTCCCTACTTAAAGGCTATTTTGTCTTGCAAAGCTTTGCAGGGAGCATGTACTCATGTAAGGAACCTATCTCTGGGGAACCCCGTACAAATTAAGGTAGAGCTGGTGCTTTTGCATGAGAAAGGCATTGCATAGATGGGGGCGGTGGAAGTGGGTGGGGCATTAGGCCTTCCCAGTGTCTGTGAGGCCTTGCAGACCAACAGGGCAAGAGAAAAAACCCCAGAATCTGTGCTTCTCAATCCACAGCCCCCAGCAGAAGGCTTGGCCTATATTAGGGCACTTCAAGAAGTGCATGCAAAATGGAATTAAAAGCTAGGTTTCTTTTGATGCAAAGCATATTGAAATCCATGCATATGAAGGGGGGTCTTCAAAAATTTCATGGAAAATGCATATTATGAAAAAACATGCATGGATTTCAAACTTTTTTTGGATCAAAATAAACCTAGCTTTTAATTCCATTTTCCCATAAACTTTCTGAAGGGAACCTCATAAAAGCTCAATAAATATTTGAGGAGAAAAGAAAGGTTCTCATTATTTTATGTAAACCTCTTATAGACCTGTGACAGAGATGGGTCACCATGACATTTCATCTCCCCCTAAACCGCAAATCCCTTGAGTGAGGGCCTGGTCATTATTATTTATTTATTTCCTTTGTAATCTGCATTTGTGGTGGGATAATCCCTAGGTTTCTGAATCCTGAACGAAAGAAGTGTTCAAAGAACATTGAATAAATTATGTTCCTGATACTATAGATGAGGGAACCGTCCAAGTTCATAAAGTTAATTCTTGACAGATCTGGAATTCAAAGCTCATGAGTTGGCTCCAAACTGGGTGCTTTTTTAATAGTCACCGCATGTGGCAAATCCCAGTCCTCAGATTTTCTGGGACTGCTGGCCCAGGCGGGAACAGCCCTAGGAGCCCCTGCTGGCAGACGGTCATGTGCTAATTAGGCTGCCAAGGTTCGGAAGCAGGAGGGCTCCGTGGGCTCTGCCAGCTCCAGCAGCTTCCCTGCTGGTTGGAGAGCAGACAGGGCCCTTGCATGTAAGGATTTAGACAAGCAGAAAAGGCAGCGGAAGGCATTCCTGGCAAGGATACTTCTTAATTAGAGGCACCAGGGAGAAATCAAATGCAGCTAATAAATGTCTCTGTAAGCCTATGAGTCAGTCATAGGCTCAAATAAGTGATGGATGGACAGGTGGGTGGGTGGGTAGATGGATGGTAGAAGGATGGATGGATGGTTGGATGGAAAGAAAGATGGATGGTTGGATGGATGGATGGGTGAATGGAAGGATGAAAAGATGGATAGATGGATAGGTGGATGGAAGGACATGTAGGTGGGTGGGTGGATCCGGCTGTTTGTTAATGGCAAGACAAGAGCTGAAGGCTTTGGATGGAATCCTGGCCTTGTCCACGGTGTGAGTTGAGCACGCGATGTTGCATCTCTGAGCTGAGGTCTCTGAGAAGCCTATGGAGGTGACTGTGATGATGAAATGAGAGCTACAAAGTGTGGAACCCACTGTCTGGCCCAGAGTGAGTGCTTCAGAACTGGGAGCTGTTGTCGTCTTCACTGACCAGAAAGGAAAGGAGGGAGAGACATAACGGGGGCTGCAGTTGGCTACCTGGCTACCATGCCCCCTCTCTTGGAGGACCTACATCCTGAATGTGCATGGGGAGGCCATGTGTCTGAGTAGAACCAGCACACAGCCCACTCCCCTGGGCCTCCGTCATTGGTCCAAGGATGTGGATGAGATTTGAGCAGTGAATCAGAGTAAACCTCAGAATATTTCCTGGGAATGCTGGGGCGTGGTCTGTTATATCTTAATGTTAGCCGTCGCAAAGCACACCGGACACCGGAGTAAGGGAAAGGGTTTATTGGGGAACACCCTACAGACCAGAATGAAGGGGCAGTGAAGGAAAAAGAGAGAAGGAAACTGTGAGAGAGACAGAGGAGGGAGAAGAGAGAGGAGAGAAGCCAAGAGAGGCCAAGAGAGCGCAGGAGAGAAGGACTGAGAGAGAGCAGGAGAGAAGGGCCAAGAGCCAAGAGCCCAGAGGAGGAGGCTAGAGAGAGGAACCGAGAGAGAGCAGGAGAGAAGGACCAAGAGAGCAGGTGTGCAGGAACAGGCCCTTTTAAAACTTTGCCTGAGGGCGGGCAAGGAAGCAGGAGCAGCCAATCCCATTAGGATGGGGGTGGAGCCCGGCTCAGGTAGCTGGGCCACATGGTCACCTGGCTAAAACTGTGCCAGTTTCCTAACATGGTCTCTCTCTCTCATCAGAGCCAGGTAACAAGGAAGCTTACAGTCTAGAAGCTGCTGGCAATTAATTACACCGGGAGTACCGTCCCCACGACTAAGCTGATGCCACAAAAGGCAAAGGAGAGAAGTGGGTGTGACCCGCGTGTATTCTAGCTGCTGACTTCAGCTTCCTGCTAATACAGACTCCGGGAGGCAGCAGTGATGGTTCCACAACCGGATTCCTGTCACTCTCCTGGGAGACCTGGATTGCGCTTGGTTCCTGCTCCAGTCTGGCCCAGCCCTGGCCTGGCCGTTGCAGGCATTTAGGGAGTGAACCATCAGATGAAATTCATTCTCTCTCTCTCTCTAATAAATAAATAAACATATTTTAGAGGGGGACATTTGGTACAGTAGGTAAAATACTGCTTAGGACATCCACATCCCATATTGGGTGCCTGGGTTCAAGTCCTAGCTCTGATCCCAATTCCAGCATGCTGCTAATGTGCACCCTGGGAGACAGCAGGTGATGGTTCAAGTACTTGAGTCCCTGCCACCCACAGGGGAGACCCAGATAGAATTCCTGGCACTTACTTTAGCCTGGCCCATCCCAGGCCATCGAAGGCATTTGGGAAGTGAACCAGTGGATAGAAGACTCATTCATTCTCATTCTCTCTCTCTCTCTCTCTCTCTCTCTCTCTCTCTCTCTGCCTTTCAAAAAAAGTGGCAAAGCAGAGACACAAAGAAACATTGTTAAGTCACTGGATTCAGCTACAGTTAAGTGATGCCTGGGTTTTCAGCTACAGTAGTCAGCTAATTTCCTTAATGCTTAAACACTTCATGAGCATCCTGACAGAGAAAGGAAGCAAGAAGGAGAACGTGCGAGTGGACTGTAAGGAAGATGAGGCGACAGGTGCTGGGGAGCAAAATTGGGGACGCATTTTAGCTATTGTTTCCCATTTGACAGATAAATACACTGAGGCCAGAGGGTTAAACATCAAGTAACTTGCCCCAGATGTCACAAGCCAGTTCAGTGCAGAGCTGGAACTAGACACCGAATCCTCTGAGTCTCTACACGCTGCCTTCCCCAGCCCACCCCCGGGAACTCCCCCCGCGGAGAAACGTACCCCACCCCAGGACCACAAAGCCCTGGAGGCACTTCCTTTCCGAGAAGAAGGAGACGACGAGGAGGCTGTGGAGGTAGAGGCCCTCCACCAGCAGCCAGGCGTAGTTGGCCATGATGCAGTACTGGAAGAAGACCATGACGAGCTTGCAGCCCACCTGGAGAGAGAGAGGCACGTGAGCCCGGGCCACATGGCCACGGGCATCCCTCGGGCTGCCAGCACCAAAGGAAGCCACGGCCTGTTGCAGGGGCAGGAGCCAGGCCACAGAGCAAGCCTAGGGGTTCAAGGCCATTTTGTGGGGCCACACAATCTCTGCAGAGTGAAAGCCTGCAGGCCCGGTGGGGTCTGTCACAAAGGCTGAGGAGCCACGGCAGGAGCAAGGACGAGGGTCCAGGTCTGGGACTGGCTGCCAGGCCAGACGACAAAGGGCTGTATCACTAGGTTAGGAGGCGACACTGAGGATGGCCCCCGAGTGGTCCCCAGCACCTGAGCTGGAGACATCCAAACAGCCAGCAGGGATGCCAAGGCGGGCTTCCCGGGTGCAGAGACTCTTCCACCAGGGGGCCCTCCACAGCGTGGTTCCTGCACCTGCACCTGCACCTGTGCTGCAGGTGGGTCTCCTCAGCCCACCTTGAGCTGTCCCTGGGGCAAGGGTGTGCTGGGGATAGCCTTGGGGTAGCTGCAGGGACAATTTCAAGGACAAGCCTCAGGAGGAGGAGCACACTGTAGCTCCTGCCCTGTGGCCCTCCCAGGGGCTCTGATCCCCAGTGCGGCCTCCTGGCCATTGCAGAATGTGTCTACTGCTGGTCAGTGACGGGCTGAAGCCCAAGTCTACTGCTTGTGACTCCGACTTGCAGTCTGGTACTCAGTTCATTCCCGAGATCTTCGGGAGAGACCCAGATCCTACTTGAGGGATCCATCAGTCCAAGACAGAATGCACCTGCATGCGACACACACACACACACACACACACACACACCTCTGAAGAAAGTGGCAGGCAGGCTGGATAATCCAATCTCCATTTCCAATCTTTCTGCCTTGCTACCCTGTGCTAGAGAGACTGTGATAGTAAAAATAAAACTCCATTCCAGCTTACTTTGTGGTTAGCAATGCTTAGTCAGGGACAAAGGTAGGTTTCGCATCGAGAGGAGGCAAGGAAGCCCACCCAGACCTTCCTCTGTGGTCACCTGACATAGTTTTAGCCAATGAATTATGGGCAGGGGTCCCTGGGGGAAAGCATGCTATTTTGTCAAATAGAAAGGCAAAACCCTCCAAAAGATAAAAAATGTTTAACTTTTGATCTACCCCTCCTTTTTTTTTTTTTTACATTTTTTTTTTTTGACAGGCAGAGTGGACAGTGAGAGACAGAGACAGAGAGAAAGGTCTTCCTTTTTGCCGTTGGTTTACTCTCCAATGGCCGCTGCGGCCGGCGCACCGCGCTGATCCGAAGGCAGGAGCCAGGTGCTTCTCCTGGTCTCCCATGGGGTGCAGGGCCCAAGCACTTGGGCCATCCTCCACTGCATTCCCTGGCCACAGCAGAGAGCTGGCCTGGAAGAGGGGCAACCGGGACAGAATCCGGCGCCCCGACCGGGACTAGAACCCAGTGTGCCGGCGCCGCTAGGTGGAGGATTAGCCTATTGAGCCATGGCGCGGGCCTCTACCCCTCTTCTTGCCTGAAACGTGGGCATGAGGCCTGGGGTTGCAGCAGCCATATTGTAAGCACATGGTTTCAAGCACAAACTCAAAGGCCTGCATTCGGGATGGCAGAGCAGAAAGAGGGAAAGGACGAGTCTTCCTGGTGCAGCCACTGGGTCACCTCTACGCTGCCTATCTGGGACTGCTTGGGCAGCTCACAGCGTCCACCAGGGGGAGCCACTGAAGGACAGTGCTCTGCTATGTGCAGGAAAGGAGACTCGTGAGTGACACCCGGAGTGATGGCAGCGAATTAAGAGCCATTCGGGCATGTGGAAGGAGAAGAGGGGTTAGAGTTTCCAAAACACCATGGTTTTATCATAAACTCGTGTCCGCAGACATCCTGACGCCTGCTCACCATCTTCTCCCTAGAACCAACCCCAACCCTCCGTAGACTGGGGCAACTTTCTCCGGCTGGGACTTGGCAGCAGCAGACGGTGCCTTACCCACTCCTGGACATGGGGAGGTGAGCAGCAGTCCCCACAGGCTTCCCCCAGAACTGCGCTCATACATGACGCGTTCTGTGCACCTGCTGCACCCCCTGGCACAGCCTAGCCCTGGCCCCTCCTCTCCGAGCATCGGGTGCAGCCTCAGCAGGGACTTGAGGGCAGGTCAACTGGGCTTAAGTTGGAGAAGGCGACCAGGCCTGGCTGCCCCCTGGGGCCCGAGGCACGGTACCCTGTGGGCGTCACAGTGGATGGCATCGTCCGAGGAGAAGAGCACGGCATCCTTGATGAAGTTGGACAGGGCGCGCAGGATGAAAGACAGGAACAGGTGCATATGGATGTAGTTGCGGGTGCAGTGCAGCCTCCTGGAGGGAGAGAATGCAGGGCTGGGGGACCAGAGCCTGGAGGGGCTGGGACTCATGCATGCCCACCCCGCCTCGGCGCACTGGGGCAGGAAGCCAAGGCTCTGCACATCAGCCCCTCGCAGGCCACACCCCTTGCTAACCCCTTGTTCTTAGCAGCTCGTGTAAATCAACACAGGGGATTTTACTGGGACATGAAGTAGTCTGCCCTTCCCTGCCACCAGCTCCGGCTCCTTTTCTCTCACGGTGGAGGGCGCGGACCGGAATGGGATTGATGAGCAGCCTAGAAAGAACCCAGGCTGTGGGGACAAAGCAGCCCCACTCCTGCCAGCTAGGAGCTATGTAAGTTGGAGCATGTCTACCTCCCAAAGGCTCTGCTTCCTCCCGTGCAGTAGGCGGACAGAACTTCCGGCACCAGGGTTTCTTCTGGGGAACCCACGCCAGCTGTGGCTGGGAATAACTCCACCCCCTCACTCTCATGACAGTCCTGACCAATCAAAGCCCCCCATCCCTGGCTGCGGCCATTGGCTCGGAGTTGGGCATGTGACCTGGGCTGGACCTGTGTGGACTCCGAGGGGACTTTCACTGGAACTAATGGGGAAGAGGCTCTCTGCTCCAGGTGGGGCTGGGGTGCTGGAAGGTACCGCTGCAGCTGTTGGTGGCTGACCCTGCTACCCCTGCACAGAGCCTGCCAGAGGGTGAGGCCCATGCTGAGTGGAGACAGGGAGGGAGACAGACCCCGTTCTGCTGAGAACGCTGAGCGCCTAGATCTAGCTATGCCTGAAGCCCCTGTGCTGCTTACTCATGTGAGTCAGGTCACTTTTGTTTTTCTGAAGCTCTTGGAGGTGGATTTCTGTCTCTTGCCACCAAGAGTCTGGCGAACACACAAATGGGTGTAGTGATGCCTGTCTCACAGCATTGTGAGAAAATGAGAAGTAGGCAAAGCAGTTGGCTGCAGCAAAGTTCTCAGCAATGCTTAGTCAGGGACAAAGGTAAGCTCTGCACTGAGAGGTGGCAAGGAAGCCCGCCCAGACCTTCCTCCGTCTGTCCTGAGCAGTTAGGCAGAAAGCCCCAGTCCGTGACGGGGCAGCCTCTGGGGATGGGACGCCGGCTGCCGGTTCTCACCGGAAGGCGCAGAGGATGCCCAGGGCGACCAGCAGCATCACCAGGGAGGAGCTGTAGCCCACTGTGTACATGACCTTCAGCTTCAGCAGGTAGGCGTGCTGGAGAAAGAGGCCTGTGTCAGTCCCACCTGCCCACCCGGCAGGCTCCGCCCCCTCTGCCTACCTGTTCCCGCTTCCAGCAACTTGAACCACCGTCCCTCCCCCCAGCCCCAAACCTGACTGCTATTGTGTTCCTACCCCGAAGACACCAATACAGACTGAGAACCTGACATCTCAGCTTAGGACAGTTTCTTGGGGATCGCTGATGCTGGTTTAAACTCCCCCCTCCCGTATAGAGCCCCGACCCAGCCCTCTGAACTCAAGTTTTGACTTGCATTCCTCTAGGGACAATGTGCTAAGGGACTTTTTAATTTTTATTTACTTATTCATTTTCATATAGTTGAAAGGCAGAGAGACAGACAGAGAGAGAGACAATTTTCTACCCGCTGCAACAGCCGGGGCCGAACCAGGCTGAAGCCATGAGCCAGGAACTCAACCCAGGTCTCCCACATGGGTGGCAGTGACCTAAGTAACTTGAGCATCTCCTGTTGCCTCCCAGGGTCTGCATTAGCAGTCGGCTGGAATCAGAAGCAGAATCAGGACTCGACCCCGGGCACTCCAACATGGGATGTCCCAAGTGGCCCCTTAACTGCTATGCCAAATGCCCACCCTTATCGGCTCATCTATGATTTTAAAAGATTTAGTGGACAGGAATAATGGGTAAAAGTTAAAATGTGACAGTTACAGATTAATGCCTTGCTTTTAGATTTGGAAAACTCAATTATACAATAGCCTTGAACCCTGGAAATGAAAATGAAAACAACGGTGCCAGACTTTTTTTTAATGAATGAAATTAACAAATATTTGAAAGTAATAATATTCTCTGCAGGTGAAGATCTAGTGGAAGTGAAACTTGGTTCAATCTTTGTGGAAGGTAATGAAGGGACGCGTATCGTAAGTCACTGGAATATGCATGTCTTTTGCCCTCATGTCTACTCCAGGAATTAACTCCAAGACATGGTTCCCCATAGCCACGGGTTCTGCCTCTGCAAATTCAACCAATCGTGGATTGAAAGTGTGGGGAAAAATTGCATCTGAACGGAACGCATATGGACTTTCTCCTAGCCATCACTCCTTATTATTTATTATTATTTAAAAGCTTGTTTATTTATTTGAGAGGCAGAGTTACAAGGGAGAGAGGGGGAGGCAGAGAAGCAGATCTTCCCTCTGCTGGTTCCCTAGGGAGATGGGTTAGCTATTACTAGAGGTTAACTTTGGGTGATAGGTCTGTGAATAGACCTGTTGTTTTATTTTGCCTTTTTCTAGACTTCCGGTTTTTCTACAGTAAGTGCTATTTCAGAACCATCAGGACAAATATCATGTATTGTCCTTGATTGATGGTGACTAATATACAGAGTACCAAAAATGTAAGTCTATGAATGAAATTGACATTTTGAGATTTGATTACTGTGCATAGTCCTTGTCTATACTCCTGAGGAACATTGGTTTTTCTACTCACTGCTTGTTGAATTCTGTATTTAGTGGCAGGCTAAGCTTGTGATTACAAACAAAATTGAAAGTGTGTCACTATAAAAATTCAAAGAAAAATAAGAAAAGAAGGAGGAGGGAGGGGGAGTGAGGGAGGGTATGGGATGTATCGTTATGCTCCTACAACTGAAAGGAAGAAATACATAGACTTGGTCCCTTTATATAAATTAAAAAAAAAAAAAAACTCATGTCAGAAATAAAGATGATGGCTTAAAAAAAAAAAAAGCCATAAGGACAGCATAGGGGCCACCTGGCTGCTGGTCGCATGAAAGTGACCTTGAGGGTAGAATGACCCAAGCTCCACGGAGTTCCCCCCTGCAGTGGAGAGAAAGGGCCAGGGGCAGGGTTCCGGCCCTCGACTGTGACTGTCACTCACTGCCTGTGTGACCTTGGGCAATTTACCTGGCTTCTCAGAGCCTCCCACTGCTCAGCTGGCAAATGGGGGTAGTATTGTCCACAGTGCAGGCTTCCTGGGAAAGCGAGTAACGTGGCAGAGCACCCGGACAAGGCACCCAGGGTGTGGTCGTTTCTCCCCCTCCCACCCTCTGCCTTCCAAAACGAGTCACCACCAGCAGGTGGGCCGGAGTCCCAAGCCCGAGGCAGCTTTACAGCCTGGGGCCTGGAGGCCAGCACCGGGGCATGGCAGGTTCCGTCAGTGCCTGTGACACAGGGATATCGTATCGGAGCACAGACTCGAGTCCCAGTTGCTCTGCAGCCGGTCCAGTCTCCTGTTAATGCACCTGAGAAAGCAGTGGAGGAGGGCCCAAGGGCTTGGGCCCCTGCCACCCTGTGAGAGACCCAGATGGAGTGCTGGGCCCCTGCCACCCACATGGGAGACCCAGATGGGGTGCTGGGCTCTTACTTTGGGCCTGGCCCAGCCCCAGTCATTACAGATGTGGATGCAGTGCCACGGGCAGAGACCATGTTGGAAGGTTTAAGGAGTTCTGTCCAAATCTGGGCAGGTTCTGTGAGAGGCACATCAATGAGCTGGCACCTTGGTGGAGAAGGTGCCACCTAGAGAGAACAAGAGACCAGCCAAGCTCGGGGAGAAAGGCACTAGGATAGCTGACACACAATAGAATGGCTGACACACAGTAGGATGACTGACACACAGAAGGGCAAGGCCTGGGCAGTGAGCTCCAGCGGGAGGAAGTTACCAGCAAGGAGACAGAGCTCAGGGTGACTGAAAATTTTCTGATGTCGAGAAGTGGCCTTTGGTGGGATGGCAGTCACTTGACATTGAGCTTCTGCCCTGGCCTAAGCACCCCCCCCCCACCAAGCCAGGAGCCCCAACTCAGGGATGAAGGGCAGTGAATTACCTTAGGTTAAGGGTTCCTAGACTTTGGGACATCAAAGACCTGTGGAATGTCAAAAACTGGACTAGCATGCCAACCTGCAATCTTGTCATATCCAAGATGCGCCCCATGGCTGAGGGTATCAGTGTCACTCCTGGAGGTGCCCCAAGCAGCCTGCGGGACCCTGGGGTGGCACAGGGTGATGAGTGTGGAGCACTGTGCTGTGGCTGCGGTGACCTTCAGCCCCGCCCTGAGGCTGCCCTGTTCCAGCCCAGGACTCCCGCATGCAAGGTCTGACCCAGAAACAGCTGCCGTGACCCTCTGGCCCTCAGCTCTTAACACCCGCAACCCTGATCCAGCCCACAAGGACTTGGGGTCCAGATGCCTCCACGCTGCCTGTCCCACATTGAGTTGCTCATCCCGCTGCCAAGCACACCCTCGCCGCCTTCTTGCTGTGCCCTCTAGACCAGCTGTTGGCAAACATGATCTGGAAACGGAGACAGTAAATATGCGAGGCTCTGGGTGCCCACAGTCTCCTTCACAACTACAGGCCTCCCCCAGTGTCCCCTGTGGATACCACAGCCTGCGGATGCCTACTAAGTCCTTCCTGTAAAACAGTGCAGGGGCCGGCATATGGCACAAAGGGTTGGGCTGCTACTTGCGAAGCTGACATCCCGTATGGGTACCAGTTAAAATCTCAGCTGCTCCACTTCCAATCCAGCTCCCTGCTGATGTGCCTGGGAAGGCAGCGGACAATGGCTCAAGGGCTTGGGCCCCTGCCACCCACATGAGAGACTGGAATGGAGTTCCTAACTCCTGACTTTGGCCAGACCCAGACCTGGCTCTTGTGGCCACCTGGGGAGTGAACCAGCAGATGGAAGGTCTCTCTCTCTCTTCCTCTCTCTCCCTTTCCCTCTCTATCACTCCGCCTTTCAAATAAATCTTCAAAAGGGAAACATAATGAACCTGCATGTGCACAAAGACAACTTTCAACTATCTGTTTAAAAAATAAAATAAAAATAAAGTGGCATAGTATTTACACATAACCTGCACATCCTTCCTTCCCACATACTTTAAATCATCTCTAGACACTTGTAATACTTAATGCAATGTAACTGTCATGAACTGTTATGTAAACAGTTGTTATACTGTATTGTTTGGAGGAATAATGACAAGAAAAAGATTTCTGTATGTGTCCAGTAGAGATGCAATTCCCCCCTCCCCACCCCGAATATTTTTGATCCATGTTTGGAATCCAGGGACTTAGGACCTGTGGGTGCCAGGGGCCAACTGCACTCACCTCTACCCTTGCCGTGCAAAGGTAGCCTGGCAGGGCAAACAGTTTGGCTCTGTCCCAATAAAGCTTTATTTGCAAAAGCAGGCAGTGGGGCTGGATTTGGCCCAAGGGCTTGGTTTGCCAACTCCTGCTCTAGAAAAGCCAGCTCTGCTTTATTTACCCACGAGGCTTCCACGCCTGGCCTTTCTGCCTGGCTGAGTCCCCGGCTGGCATAGGTCAGTGCTGCACAGCTGTGACCCAAGTAAGGCTGGTGAAGAGAAGAAACCAGTGAATACCTGTCGCTCCCCGTCTTCGTGGAGGAACGACACAGGACCCTGCGCTGTTCTTTCGTCTGCTCGGCCCTCCCCGGGTTTGCTGCTGGTTCTTCCCGGGTTGGCTACTGACCCTTCCACCTCCGTGGAAGGGCGGTTCCCCCTGCCACTTTCCCCACTTCCGCGGGGGAGCGGCACACCGCCGGCCAGCTCTCTCGGGGGCTGCACAGGTGTTCCCTCAGATGTTCCTGGTGCATGTTGTCTCTCTCCTCCTTTATAGTCCTCCTCCGCCAATCCTAACTCGGCTGCCCACACGCCGAGTACGCTGCTCTCCTCCAATCAGGAGCAGGATCAGCTCCTGGAGGTCAGCACTCAAGTTGGCAAGAGGCAGCTGCGTAGAAGCTGTTTCCTCCTCTCCCAGCGCCATGTTGTGGGAGAGCAGATGCATAGAATAAGTCTTAATTCCAGTAACTTAATTCCAGTAACTTAGTCTAGTCCGAGTTGCTCCCAGTTGCTCCCCACAAATACCCACCCGCCACGAGCTGAGAAGGAGAAAAGACACATTAGCGATAAGAAATAGGATGACTCAAATCTCAGAACAAAGTTTGTGCTGGTTTGAGAGCCAGCATGTAGGGAGCAGTGGGTCGTGAGGTCTTGAAGCTCTTCCCAACTCAGGGAGCTTTTGAAACATGTGAGGGGAGGGCTAGTGCCGGGGCTCCATGGGCTAAGGCACTGCTTGGGACGTTCGTATCCCACACTGGAGCGCCAGTGCAAGTCCTGGATGCTCTGCTTCTGACCCAGCTCCCTCTAATGCACCTGAGGAGGCAGAAGAAGATGATCTGAGCACTTGGGCCCCTGCACCCAGGTGGGAGATCCGGACGGAGCTCCTGGCTCCCAGCGTTGGCCTGGCCCAGCTCTAATTGTTGTGGTCATTTGGGGAGTAAACCTGTGGATAGAGATGTTTCTTTCTCTCTCTCTCTCTCTCTCTCTCTTTCCTTCTCTGTCACTTTTTTCTTTAAAATAAGCAAATAAATCTTATTAAAATAAAAAAAAACCTATGAGCCAAGTCTAAGCTAGGTCTTTCTGTCATTTCCGAGGAATCAATTTTTGATTGATTTATTTGATAGGCAGAGTTACAGAGAGAGAGAGAGAGACAAAGAGAAAGGTCTTTGGTTCACTCGCCAAATGGCCACAACAGTTGGAGCTGGGTGGATCTGAAGCCAGGAGCCAGGAGCTTCTTTGGGTCTCCCACATGGGCATAGGGACCCAAGCACTTGGGCCATCTTCAGCTTCATTCCCAGGCACATTAGCGGGGCACTGGACTGGAAGTGGAGCAGTCGGGACTTGAACCAGCACCCATATGGGATGATGCCACTGCAGGCAGAGGCTTAGCCTCCTACACCACAGTGCTGGGCCCCACAATAAACTTTCTGAGCCGAGTCCAGAAGTCTGCATTTTCCTGTGCTGACTTCTGGCTCATTGATTTGGGATTTTACGGTTTCGGCCCTGCCATGAACACCGTGGTTAAGGCCCTAGGCTCTGTTCTTCCCAACTGATGCGTCTAAGCTAAGGGTTCTCATTGTGTCATCTGTATAGACAGAAATTACAAAAACCAAAGTTCCTTGGGGTCTTTAACCATTCTTTTTATTCAAAGGCAGAGAGAGGGAGAGGGAGAAGGAGAGAGAGAGAGAGGGAGAGAGAGAGAGAGAAAGGGCTCTGCTCCTCTGGTCACTCCCTCAAATGACTGCCACAGCTGAGCCTTGACCAGGCAGAAGGACTCCTATCCGGGTCTCCCACGGGGCGGAGATCCAAGCACTTGAGCCACCACTGGCTGCCTCCCAGGTGTTCATCAGCCTGAAGCTAGAATCGGAAGCAGAGACGGGTCCGGAACCTAAGGACGTGGATATGGGACAAGGACATCCTAAGTGGCGTCTTAACTGCTGAATCAAATGCTTGCCCCTTAAGGGGCCACAAGGCCAAACGTTGGCCTAAGCCAATCACCAATCACCTACCCCCTTCCTCTGCCAATGACTGGCTGACTGGTGCAGGAAGGGGAGGGCCTAAGCCGCTCTGGGCCAGCAACATGCGAGGACAGGCTTGCCCAGGTCTGGCGGGGAAGGAAGCTTCCTCGCTCTTGGGGAAGAGTGGCAGGAAGCCAGGCAGTCCCTCTGAACTCTGTGGCTGTGACGGCTGCAAGAGGGCACCTGCCTTAGGAAGGAGCTCCCGGAGCAGGGGGAAGAGAGATGGACGTAACCGTGCCCTTGGCAATCCTGTAGGGTGGCTTTGCCAAAGAATGCCGACACCCGTTTCGTGCGGTCCCAGGTCCTGAGCCCCGTTTGCTTGTTCAGCCCGTTAGAAATTCCTGTTATTCGCAGCCCAGAGCACCCTTCTGAACCTCCATCCTGCCACTCAACATCAGACTGCTCCCTCCTCGTGTTCTAGGTTTCAAAGGTGTGATGCACAATTGTCCCGTCTTTGTGTGTGTCCCCCGACACGAGAAAGGGCCGCCCGCAGAGGGGAGGGTGTGTGACCACACGTGCTTCTGAGCAATCCTTATTCAGTTCCGTGATTGATCCCCTCGCTCTGGTCGGAGCTGAAGGCCTCATGTGTTTTCTCCACCTGGATGACAAGCCCTGGGAAGGAAGCAAGTCCACCCCCAACCTGGGTCCCTGCCCACTCTCCTCCATGTAGAGCAAGACAGACTGACCATAGAGAGAAGAGTCAGAAACAATCCCACAGCGGGTTTGGCCCACACCTAACTGCATCCTTTCTCCCTTAATTGTGCCTCCCCACTCCAGGCTTCTCTCCCTCAGCCCACCCTCTCTTCCAAGGAGCAAGTTTGTCTCTCTGTGCTCTCCCTGGGGAGCTGAGCTGATGGCACAGCTGGAAACTGGGGGTCACATCCATTAGTGGGAAAGTGAGAAAGATAGAGGGAGGAAGGCCAACTCTATCTGATTCTTGCTGCAAGACGGGTGTTGGCAGCAGCAGTCCGGCGCCTCGGCTCACTAGGCTAATCCTCCACCTGCAGCACCGGCATACCAGGTTCTAGTCCCGGTTGGGGTGCCGGATTCTGTCCCGGTTGCTCCTCTTCCAGTCCAGCTCTCTGCTGTGGCCCGGGAAGGCAGTGGAGGATGGCCCAAGTGCTTGGGCCCTGCACCCCATGGGAGACCAGGAGAAGCACCTGGCTCCTGGCTTCGCATCGGCACAGCGTGCCAGCCGTAGCAGCCATTTGAGGGGGTGAACCAATGGAAAGGAAGACCTTTCTCTCTGTCTCTCTGTCTCTCTAACTCTGCCTGTCAATAAATAAATAAATAAAAATTAAAAAAAAAAAGATGCCCCTCAGGATGCAGAGTGTCTGGACTTGAGTGCCAGCCCCACTCCCAATTCCAGCTTCCTGCAGGTGCACACCCTGGGAGGCAGCAGGTGATGGCTCAAGTACTTGGGTCCCTGCCACCCACATGGAAAACTTGGATTGAGTTCCAGGCTCCTGGCTTCAATCTGGCACAATCTTGGCTGTTGGAAACATCTGGGGAGCAAACCTGTGGATGAGATCTCAGTCTTTTTCTCTCTCTGCTTTTTAAATAAATGCAAATGAATGAACCCTGCCCTTTGGTACTTTGTAGACATGATACATACACTCCCTGAGCCTGTTTCCTCATCTGCAAAATGGAACTTGGCAATGAACAAGTGAACTTCTGCTCAAGGAAGCAATGAACTTGCAGGGTTATTTTGAGAATTCTATGTACTTGTGCCTCAAATAGCTCACACATGGGGGATGTTCAATATAGTAACAAGCATTCATTGGACATCTTAGAGGTGTCTGGCATGATGCTAGGCATTGAGGACCCAGAAACCAAACAGGACTCTGATTCGTCACGGAGCTGTCCCACAACTAGACCCCTGGCGGGCCCGAGGTAGGTGCTCAGTAAAAGTTTGGTGAATGCCAGTCTTTGAAGAGCTCTTGTCTTGGCAAGAGCCAGAGGCCCATGGCACAGGCTCGCCATCCTAGTACAACACAGCAAGTCGTGCTTGGAGGCCAGCAGAGCAGCGAGGGAGCCCTTCCCAAGGCACAGGGCAAAAGTGAAGTCTGAAGGGTGCGTTGGAATCTGTCAGTCAAAGAGGAAGGGGGCGGGCTCTAGGCAGAGGGTGACAGGGGCAAAGCCCCACGTGGGAAGCAAGGCGGCACAGTAGGTGTGAGCTCCGAGACAAGGCCCTCCTGGGAAGGGGCATGAGCGGGAATGAGCCGAGCTCAGGCTGAACCCTAACAGGCACCCTCAGACGGAGAAGTCGTTCAGCCTACAGCTCGCAGGTGGGAGAGCACCCTCTCCCTGTGACTGGGCCTTCTCCCTGCTTCTCAGGGCCAGGAGATGCCGTTGAGAATGAGCACTGGTTATGGTCAGGCACCCATCTCAGCATGTCCAGGTATTAACCCATTCCATTCTCTTGACAAGTCTATTTGGCCAGAACTATTATTCCCATTTCCCAGATGAAGCAGCTGAGGCTCAGAATGCCTAAGTCCTCCCCAGCCCCACCAAGGTCAAGACCGGAATTTACTCTCTCCAGCCTGGCTCTCTGCATTTAGCCATCACGTGGCTTCTCTACACATTTAATGAAAAGACCAGCCCGGGCTCGGGGGACTAGACGGCAATGCCCAGGTCCCCAGAGTCTTGCTGACCGTGATCATCACGAGGTTGAAGCTGCGAGTGAGCTGGGGGAGGTGCTGGCCACCCCCACCCCAGGCCTTTTCCCCCTGCCAGGCCCCACCCCGCTGGGGGTAGAGGGTGCCACACTTACCTGTCTCTCGTGGGATGAGTCGTTCATGCTCACTCCACAGGCCAGATCCGGTCTGGGAAAGGTTTCCGTCCAGCCATCCTGCGTGCAGTTCCGGAACAGGGAACCTGTGGGGCCAAGCATCCTATGGTGAGCAGTGGGGACCGACATTGGTCATCTCAGAGAGAAGTCTGTGTGTAGTGGGGAAACTGAGGCACGCCGTGGCTAAACGTCATGCCTGCCTTCCCGCCCACCTCTTCCCATTTAACAGGCAGGTCCCCCGCCTGGCCATGTGAAAACCGCAGAGTGCCCCTGAGGTGAACCCTTCCCGGCAGCCACACCGCAGGAAAGGGATGGAATTATTGGTCTGTCAGCCACCTGGCTGACAACTGCAGCCCTCCTCACTGCCATGCACCCCCTGCACAAGACTGCATGCTGGGCAGAGGCCTCCGTGCCTCCCCTTGCCTGGCCCAGCACCCCGCCCATCACACACTGGCCCAGCACCCCCCCACACCCATCACACACTGGCCCAGCACCCCGCCCATCACACACTGGCCCAGTTCCCTGCCCATCAAACCCTGGCTTAGAACCCCGCCCACCACACACTGGCTGGGCCACTGGCCAGACAGGAAGGTGAATGAATGGGGATGAAGGTTTGCTCTGAGCTGTTCTAGAAAAGAAGAGGGGATAGCTTTCAGAGCAGGTGCCCGAAGAATGCCTGGTCCTGGGAAGAGCTGCCCTCCCCAGACTGAACGACCCAGCCGCGTTCTGTATTCCAGGCTGCCACGTGCAGCCAAGACCCCATTCCCTGGCCCCTGCTGGTGTGGTGTGGCCGGGGTACGGGGCACTGATTCCCCAGGCCTGTGGAGGGCAGCCCTGACCAGGGTCCCCATAACAGCCTTGGCTGGGCTTTGGCATGCTTCTGCCACAGGTCTCAGGGCTCGGGCCACTGGGTCAGAGGCTTAGGGTGGAGAGCGGTCCACTGAGCTGGAGAAACACCATGGTGCTAGGTGCTTTATGTGGGGTACGATCTGATCTTCCCTGCCCCTCACCCCCGCACGCAGGTGCTGCCCCCTGCTTCACACCCAGGAAACGCAGTCCCAGGATTGGGTCACAGTGATGCAATGCAGCCCGTGGCTGTGCTGCCCTCCTGCCTGGCCCTCTCCGCGTGGCTGTGTCCTCTGGGCGCTGGGCATGCCCAGCCCTGGAAGGCTCAGGAGGCTAGAGCTCAGGGCTGCAGCTAGGCTGATCTGAGCTGGAAACCCAGTGCTGCTGCCTGGGGGTGACAGTGTGTGCTGGCTGCACCCCTGCTCCGCGCGACTCGAGAACAGCGCGCAGCACACACGACAGCTCATGGAAAACCCAGGCCGCTGTGGCCAAGCCCACTGCAGGCCACGTCGTGGCAAAGAAGTGGCAGTGGGCGGGACTTTCTGGAATGAAATCGAGGGAGCCAGGCAGGCAGAGGCTTTAAGAATGGCGGTCAAACGTGGTCTGGCTGGAGGGCAGGAGCCAGATGCCGAGATGATCAGGGCTCTTGGGCTGCGCCATGGCAGCCGGCCTGTGTGCCTGGGGCCCCTCCCAAGTGCCGCGGTGAGAGTCGCAAGCCAGACGCTGCTTGTGACGGCAGCCAGGCCCCTGCCGCTGGGCTCCTTCCCGTCCACCCACCTCACGGCCCGCGGAAAGTCCAGGCCGCGGTTTCTGTGCGAGTGTGCATGTGCGGTGCAGCCGGGGCCGCCCTAAGCTTTCCTGCTGCCGACTAGGGTTGCCCGCTCCCTGAGGCGGCTCTGAGGAGGCTCCAAAGTCGCTTCTGCCTCGGGCCGACTCTTTCAAAGAGAGAGGAGAGAGGCCTGACCCGCCCTGCACTGTGTCTCTTAATAAGGAACAAGTCCAGCACCCTCTTAAGAATCAGAGGAATGTCCCCTGGTGGGAAAGATGGGAGGGTGGGGACGGACTCCAGCTTGCGGTGTCCCCACTGCAGGGACACTCACCCTGCCCAGCCCATGTAGTGGGTGGCCTGAGAAAGGATTCATGTGTTAATTCTATCACTTATTCTTTTTGAAGGAAGGCTCTAGCCCTTCCTGGAGTTGGGGTTGGGGCGCCAGAGCCCCGCGGGACACCACCCAGGGGAGCTGAAGAGGCCGGGGTCCCATCGGACCGAGATATCTACAGGGAGGGGTGCCTGGGAGCTCACAGTTACTGAGTCCAAACAGGCCCTTACCTGTGCTCCTGAGCCGGCCAGCACCTCCAGGCTGGGTATGAGTAGGAGTGGGAAAACCTCAGGCAGCCCCGGAGCTGAGCCAAAAGCGCCCCCCCCCCCCCCCACGGCCGGAGCCTCTGTGTGGCCCTGCAGCCCCACAGCGGCACCATGTGGCGGCGAGAAGAAACTGCAAGGATGGTCGCTTCCATCCTCGTGGAACTGACGCGCCCCCCTCCTTAAGAGTGGGCCATTCAAGGCGGGGGTGGAGGGGAGCTCAAGAGGGAGACGGTGATCTCTTCGTTAATGAGGAAAGCAGAGGTTCAAGCACTTAACGGGGGAAGGAAGTGACGACTCTCTGCCTCCCTCGCAGTGGGGGGTCACCAGGCAGAACCGTATCCTGGGGTCTGGCCCCCAGACCCTCCCCGTGGGAGCTCTGGATGCTTTCCCCTCACCAGCCAGCCCGGAGGCGGAAGCCACAGCTGGGAAGTGCTGGCAAGCCAGGGTGCCCCCGTTGCAGGGAGAGGCACCTGTTATGGACTTTGAGCAGACAAACATCAAATGAGGTGGGATTCCGCTGGCTAGCCAGCCGTGTTCCCTCCACTCCTGCATGTGGGGTGTGGGGTGAGACTGAGCAGGGCCCTTGAGCTCCTGCAGCGGCTGTGTGTGTGCGCAGGTGTGCACGTGTGGCACTAGAGAACTGTGGGAGTAGAAGAATCCACACTCCTCTCCCAGCCCTGAGGTCTCCGTGTACTCCGTCCTTTCCTTCCTGGCTTTGGGAGATCAGAGGGTGCTGGGGTTAAGTCACCTGCTCTTCTTCGGTTCGATCATGTGACGTGCCCGTTTCCCTGGTCTTCCTGCCCTGTACTGACAAGCAAGGAGGGGTGGCAGGCCAGGCTTTAGATTATACAGGACTCCACTAAGGGTGGGGCCAAAGCCATGAGCCCACCTTGCCCGGACCCAGGGTCACCCTGACCACGAGGCCACAGACCTGCCCTGACCATGGCAAAAGACAGAGCACCAAGTTTGCATCCCGGTGCCTCCACCCTGGCTGTGAACTTGAAGGCAAGCGCCAGGCTTCTCTTGTGAAGTCCCTGCTCATGACCCCTCATTACTGGGCCAGAGGAAGGGCAGGTGATTTAAAGGGGTTTAGGGATGGCCACATGAGCCCACATTAAACAAATTGTCTGGCACATGGTTGACCTTCAGCTTAAGCCAGTCAGGGAGGAAAAGCCTTGCACTTGCAAGTGTCCTCTGCTAAGAGACCCGCCCCTCCCCACTCCCGGGGAAGGCCAGGGGCTCCCAGGCAGAGCTCAGCCTGGCAGAATGGGCACAGGGGGAGGTGAGGGTTCTGGAAGGACTGTCTGTGCCAGGGTGAGATCCAGGCCCCCCCTTTGCGGAGAGACAAGTGCATGGAAGGGAAGAGGGGAGCCCCCAAGTGGGAGACAAGGAGTAGACAGAACCCTCCCAGTCCCCTGAGGCCCTGAAAACTGAGCCCACCCCACACCCTCCCAAGCAAGGCTTCCAATCCCCGGCAGGCCCTTTCCCCGCCATGTCAGCCACTGTCGGTCCCTGCTGGCCCTGGGGTGGAGCAGTTACCATTGCTGTTCGTGAGCATCCGCAGGAACCTGGGGCACTCCAGCTCCACCATCCGCCCTGGAGCAGAGGAAGGCCAGCAGCTCACGTTGTCCCACAGCCCCTGGCAGCCTGCCGGGAAGAGGCGCAGTGTCAGGCAGGGCTGCCCCCACCACCTGCCGCCCCCCACACCTGCCGCCCCCCCACACACACGCCCTTGCCCGCCTGGAGGTTCTCGTCGGATACTTCCAATGTTCCCACCCATGCTGGCTCCTTAAGATCAGAGCCCACAGCGTTTAATGCTCCTTCTCTGCCCTGGGGCTTTGGACGTGGCTCTCCCAGGCTGGAGCAGAAGCTGGTGCAGCTCTGGGCCTCAGCTGCAACAAACAACTCAACAGCAGTGGACCTCCCTCCTGGCTGCCGGTGCAGGCCCTTGGGGAGCATCAGACATGCCCCTAACTGGGCTTTGTGCCCAAGGATTCTCCTTGAATCCATCGAATGGGGGCCCAGGCATGAAATTGTGTCCAAGATGTCCCAGTCATTCTAACGTGGTGGAAGGCAGGCCTGGGAACCCTTGTCCCACGATCCTCAAACTACAGCTTGTTCAATAGGGAGTACTCGTGAGGGCTGGGGCCTGGGCCTGGGAATGGGCATTTCTAACAAGCGCCTGGGTGACGCTGGGTGTCCCCACTCTGAGCTGCTCTGGCAGGGTCCACGCTTCTGGAGCCGGTGCCTTGGTCCTCAGAAGCCACTGCAGCGGAGCCACCATGTACAGGTGCCCCAGTGTTGTCCAGGATCCTGCCTTCTACCTCCCCGTGTCCCCATCTCGAGGCCCCTGCCTGCACTTGGAACCCAGGCTCCCTGCAGTAAGAGGCCAAACTTGTTGTGAATGACTATGTCTGTCCTTGTAGATGCGGACTTCAAAGCTGATTTCCTCTTTGATCTGGCTGCTAGGAAGCTCAGAGCCAGGTTCATAACTCACATCTGGTCATGGAAAGACTTGGAAATGCATCAGACAACTTGCTGGCCATCTTCACAGCAACCTTGGCCTTGGCCTGTGAGCGCAGACTTATTCTGGGTTAATCTGATTCTCTCTGACCTTTCATTGTAGTTGAGCTACTTTTCAACTCTGTAAGTTGTAGGTGAGTGACAGCAATGAAGATGATCTTTGTCCAAAGGCAAGCAAATGAGTATTGTCCAGGTGAAGCACACTCGACTTCCCCCCCTCCTCTTGGGTTCAGCCCGTCTGTACCTAGTTGGAAATGCACCTCCCCATTCTGCAATACTTGGAACTCTCCCAGGAACCAATGCCAATTAGCTTACTCATTCCCTCACCAAATAAAGAAAATGTTGAGCAGATATTCACTTTATGTACTTTTTTTTGCTTCTAAAAAAATCTTATTATTGATTGATTGATTGATTTTACTTGAAAGGCACACTTCCAATAGCTAAGGTTGGGCTGGGCTGAAACCTAGGAGCATGGAACTCCTTCTGGGTCTCCCGTGTGGGCGGCAGGGATCCAAGTACTTGAGCCATCACCTGCTGCCTCCCAGAGTGTACACGAGCAGGAAGCTGGAACTGGGAGCAGAGGCAGGACTTGAACCCAGGCACTCAGACGTGAAATGCAGATGTCTTAACCACTGTGCCAAGTGCCCACATTCATTTCATATTTGTGTGCTTGTGATGATGGCCATCTTTTAAGAGTTATCGTTTCACACAAGCACACCCAAGCCCCCTAAAGTTCATTCCAGGGGCAGGGACCCAAGGAAGTTGCTGTCTATGGCAGGGCTCTGGGGACCCAGGCCATCTGTGAGGACAACACTGGGGGCAGGGTCTGGCCTGGAGGTCTAAGTGCCAGCTGTGTTCGCTGCTCGCCAGGCCTGATCTGGGTCCCAGGAGCTCACAAGACCCAGGGTGACTCTGAGCCTTCCCAGGTGCCCTTGGAGTGGTGACTTGGCCCAGAGAGGGACCTTCATGGGTGCCCTGCTGATGTCCCCACTCTGAGCTGCTCTGGCATCCAGGGTCCCAGGTGCCTCCCCGCCAGCTCCGTGGCATCTCTTGTACGGGGAGCAGTGACGACCTCTGACCTCCCTTGGGGACAGAGGGATTTGGAGCTGCCTGGGGCCAGCTAGGTTCCAGGGCATTGGCACGAGCTCCAGTTCCTGAGACTGGTGACCTATGCCCAGCTGGCCAGACAGAGGCAGAGGGTGCCAGCATGTTGGAGAGCCTTCCTGGGCTAGCTCAGGTCAGGCAGGGCCTACAGGGACTCCCAGCCCGGTGCTAGCAGAGGGCAGCAGGGAGGAGCGGCCAGAGGTGAGGAGCCCAAGAGGAAAAAGCTCCCCTCCCGCTAGTGGGGTCCCCTGCCAGCTGGCTCACCACCGTGACCCTCATGTCAGCCCTGAATAGAGAAAAGGCAACTCTGGCTGGGGGTGGGGCCAAGCCAGCCCTATGCTGGACACACGTTCTGGAGCTGAATCTTACACTGGGCACAGAGGTCAGGTAGAGTCCCTGCCCCATGGTAGAGAGAAGGAACCCAGGGCCCCAAGGGCAAAGTGACAGAGCCAGTTCTGGGGGAGCTGGGATCCCACCCAGCCTTCCCGATCCCCCAGCCAGGCAAGGGTTCCACCCTTGGTGGCTACGGCTGAGCATCCAGAAGAAGACTCACTCCCTTAAGCCCAGCTCCACTCTCTGGATGGGAAAAGCTCAGAGCACCCCCGGAGCTCAACAGGCTGCCACAAGCGCATCCCGAATGCACAGGGCCCTGTGCCTGGGGCTGGTGCTTGGCTCATTATATTTATTTCAATAGTTGCTAATGAATTTATTATGTCTTAGAAAACCTGTAAAATCAACGCATGGCATCTGTGATGTTAGAGCTTGCATTCAGGATGAGGTTATGTTTTTAGAGGTGCGTTGAGGGGCCGGCGCTGTGGCGCAGAAGGTTAATCCTCCTCCTGCGGCGCTGGCATCCCATATGGGCACCGGTTCGAGTCCCGGCTGCTCCTCTTCCAATCCAGCTCTCCGCTATGGCCTGAGAACGCAGTAGAAGATGGCCCAAGTCCTTGGGTCCCTGCACCCGCATGGGAGACCTGGAAGAAGCCCCTGGCTCCAGGCTTCGGATCGGCACAGCTCCAGCCATTACAGCTATTGGGGAGTGAACCAGCAGAAGGAAGACCTCTCTCTCTGTCTCTCCCTCTCACTGTCTATAACTCTACTGCTCAAATAAATAAATAAAATCTTTTAAAAAAAGATTTGGAGGGAAAATAGTGCAACAGCACCAGGGGCACGCGGCTGCAGGTGGGTGGAAGGGGACATAGCCGAGGAGGTTGCTGGCCCCCTCCCAGACACTGGTGCCCCCAGGCCAAGCAAGACTGGGAGGTGGGAGGGCACCCCTTGCTCAGCTGCTGTGGGAGTGCTGGCCCTTGCCGGAGAGCCCGGGATCCTGGGCTGTTTTAGATCCAGGGCAGCCAAATCTGCCCCCAGCGTGGGTGGGGGTGAGAGGGACTCCATGAGATGCTGGATGGGGGAGGGAGCTTCATAAACAGAGCTCCGGCTCCTGAGACCCAAGGGAGGGGTGGCTGGCTCTGGGGAGCGCCTGCTGAAATGAGCGGGAATGACGGTACTGGCGTGGCTCAGTGGGATAAGCCGCTTCCTAGGACACCAGAATCCCATAGGAGCGCCAGTTCAAGTCCCAGCTGCTCCACTTCCCATCCAGCTCGCTGCTGATGCGCCTGGGAAGGCAGTGGAGAATGGCCTAAGTGTTTGGGCCCGTGCCACTCTTGTGGGAGATCTGGATGGAGTTCCTGGCTCCTGGCTTCAGTCTGGCCCAGACCTGGCTGTTGCGGCCTTCTGGAAAATGAACAAGCAGATTTAAGATTTCTGTCTCTGTAACTCTGCCTTTCAAATAAATCTTCGAAAGGTAGAAAGAGAGGGAGGGAGGATGGGAGGGAAGAAGGAAGAGAGAGAGGGAGGGAGGGAGGGAGCGAGGGAGGGAGGGAGCGAGGGAGGGAAGAAAGGAAAAGAAATGGGTAGGAAGGAGCTTGCAGGCAGGTAGGCCCAGAGCGTGCTGGGGTTTGCGCCTTCCCAGCCCTCGGCCTTCTCTGCTGCTCACCTGTCCCCGGGTCGCTGAGATTGGCTACCAGGGAATTCTAAGTGGACGCCAGGCACAAACACCATCTTGGGGGGTGGGCTGGGGGCCCGCCGCCGCCTGAGAGGACGGCTTGGGACACTGGGCTGGGAAGGTGGTGTGGCTTTGGACTCATGCACGCCTTGCACACACCACCTACCTGCACAAGCTTTGCTTTCGTCATCCATAAAATGGCCATGATGATATTCTCCAGGATTCTTGTGAGAGTTCAATTAGGTGCGGGTGCTGTCGAATATTTTCTGATCTATTAACCTATGTTCTTTTTCTTTTCTTTTTAAAGACTTTTTTTTTTTAATTTGAAGTGAAGAGTTACAGGGGGAGACAGAGAGACAGACAGAGATCTTCCATCTGCTGGTTCACTCCCCAGATGGCTGCAATGGCCGGGGCTGGGCCAGGATGAAGCCAGGAGCCCCACCCAGGTCTCCCACGTGGGTGGCAGGGGCCCTGGCACTTGGACCGTCATCTGCTGTTTTCCTGGGCACATTAGTAGAGGTTTGGAAATGGAGCAGCTGGGACTGTAACTGATGTTCCCATGGGACACCAGTGTCAGCTGCTGCACCACAGCGCCGGCCCTCCTATGCTCTTGTACATTTTTTTCCTTCCCTCTCTCCTCCCTCCTTGGATTACCAGTAGGTTCAAAGTCTCAGAGGAAGAAGGAAAACAGTCTCCCAGGTCTTGGGGGAAGGAAGAGGTGTTCTGGTGTCATCAGCATGCTTGGGAAGAGACAGGAAAGGAGCAGGGTTTCCTAGGAGCATGACAAACAGGTACATGGAAGGTTCCAGAAGGAGTCATGAGAACCTTGCTCCCCAGCCAGCCTTTGAGCGGGGGGGACGGGGGAATGGTGGCCCCCAAGGAGACACAGGGCCTGGGGATGTGTGTCCAGAATTTGCCACCAAAAATGCAGAAGGTTCTACCTGCACCCAGTAGTGCTGCCGGGCCATGTCACCTTCATATTCGGGAAGGCCCTGGACCCAGGGCCAGGCCCCACACGACACTCAGGGACAGCGCGCTGGCCCAGAGGCAGGCCTGGGGTGAGGGCCGGGGCCAGCAGGAAGGGGAAGGAGGACCCCCCCAGCCCGTTACCCTGCACAACAGAGAACCTTAGGCTCCTTGGGGTCTGCCTGGTGCTTCCCCGGAACCTAGTATCCATTCCCCAGACGGTGATTTACTTAGAAATGAGCCCAGATGGTCTGACGAGAACCTGGGACTCTTTCTGGAGCGAGGTGTCGGGCTGCAGGGAAGGAGGGCCAAGCAGCAGCCAGCAGCCCCCACCCCACCCTCCGAGGACCAGGCTGAGGTGGTGGGTGCGCCATGTCCCCTGAGGCTCACTTCACCTGCTAATGGCGAAAGCAGGGAGCTCACAGCCCCTCCTGGCCTTGTCCCCATGTCCCCCAAGCCTCTTCTAGCTTCTGCACCTGTCCCCTGGGAGGCTGCCTCTCTTGCCCACCAGAGGCCGCTCCAGGCAAGCTTTAGAGCACCTGGAGCTGACTCCCAGGGGCCACGGCAGCCGCCCCTGGGGAGCCCTCCCCGTGCACGTGGAACCTCACCTGGCCGAATTACTCGGGATTGCCCATCTCCCTGGCTCGCTCACTCTCACCCTCACACTTGCTCTCATTTCTTTCTAACAAAGAACCTTTCTCCGGAGGACGAGGATGTCAGTAAACCCCCCAACCCTGCCCCAGGCTCAGCTGTGCTGGGTTTTATTAGCCTGATTTGCCACCTGGAAAACGCTCAGGGTTTGGAGTCAAACGATTTGGGCTGAAGGTCCTATTGCAGTTCTGTGAGATGCTGGGCTTCTCTCAGCCTCAGTTTTCTCACCTGTGAAATGGTCATGATAATAATAGTACTTATTGCACTCCTGTTTTAAGAAGTAAACATTGGGGCTGGTGCTGTTATGAAGTGGGTTAAGCCTCTGCCTGCAGTGCCAGCATCCCATATGGGTGCTAGTTTGTGTCCCGGCTGCTCCACTTCCAATCCAGCTCTCTGCTATGGCCTGGGAAAGTAGTGAAAGGTGGCCCAAGTCCTTGGGTCCCTGCACTCGCGTGGGAGACTTGGAAGAAGCTCCTGGCTCCTGGCTTTGGATTAGTCCAACAGTGGCTGTTGCAGCCATCTGGAGAGTGTATCAGTGGATGGAAGATCTTTCTCTCATTCTCTAACTCTACCTTTCAAATAAATAAATAAATAAATATCCTTTTTTTTTTTTAAAGATTTTATTTATTTGAGAGGTAGAGTTACAGACAGTGAGAAAGGTTTTCCTTCTGTTGGTTCACTTCCCAAATGGCTGCAATGGCCAGAGCTGTGCCTATCTGAAGCCAGGAACCAGGAGCTTCTTCCTGTCTCCCACATGACTGCAGGGGCCCAAGCACTTGGGCCATCTTCTACTGCATTCCCAGGCCATAGCAGAGAGCTGGATTGGAAGAGGACCAGCAGAGACTAGAACCGGCGCCCATATGGGATGCCAGCGCCGCAGGTGGAGGATTAACCTACTGCACACGGTGCCGGCCCCATAAAAATCTTTTTAAAAAAGTAAACATTTTTACAAAATTGTCTAAAATGTTATGCAAATGTTTGGCAACCAGATGAGCCCTGCCAAGGTAGGGATGGACAGAGATGAACGTGGGTGTCAGTGGGGGTGGCCCAGGGGGCACCAGGAGCTGGGGGCAGTGCAGGGGGAGCTGGGAATGGTCTTGTTTTCCAGGGAAGGACCACAGTAAAGGCCAGGGCATGTGAAGTGATGACTCAGGCCACACTGCGGATGGCCCTCAAACACAAGCTCTGTGGAAGATGACAGACTCAAAAGGTCACGGGCCACACGATTCTATTTTTATGAAATGCCCAGAGTTGGCAAATCTGTGCAGACAGAAAATAGATTCGTGGTTGCCGGTGGCTGGGGAGAGGGAAGCAGGGGGGGCTCTACCTGCTAGGTCCAGAGCTTTGTTTTGGGGTGACCAAGTTGTTTTGGGACGCGGTGGGGTGGGGCTTGCACAGCAGCGGAAGTGCACTGAACGCCATTGTGTCATTCACTTTGAAATGATTAAGTTAATGTTACCCGAATTCCCTTCAGTAAAAATGACACCCAAGTAGGACATAGGTCCAGGTCTGTCTGACCATCAGGCCCACACACCATCTTTCTAGAACATTCTTCTGCTAAGGGAGAGCCGGAGCCCTGGCACCAGCCAGCTCGGAGGGAGTGCGTGGATCCTGTAAACAGAGGACTACGTTGCCCTTGTGGTAAAGCAAGCCGGGCAGCTCTTCCGGTGACCCAGAGATGTCCCCATGGAATGCCCGGAAAGCCTTGGCCACCTCACCCGGAATAGCTGCAGAGTTAATTTTTCATCTGGGATCAGTGTGCCAGGCTCAGGGACAGCTCGGTGAGTGACACTTCCTGTGCCTCATCTGGCACTCAAACATTAACCTCCACCCAGGGAGCGGCGGGCAGCTTAACCATTATCCTGCACCCCCAGCAGACTGTCCCACCGGCCCCTGCTCCTGCCCTGGGCCTGGATGCCCCTGGCTGGCCTCCCTGGGGCACCCGCCTGGGTGAGGGACACGGGGCTGGCTCTGTCTGAGCGCCTCTAGGATCTTCCACGAGGCTCGGTGCCCTGCCTGATTCTGATGCAGACACCTGCTCTCTTCTGTTTGGGGTCGGGGAGGGATTTTCCCTGGAGCCACCACTTCTGATCTCCACTCCCTGGTGGATCCCTGGGGTCTGCCTTCTCAAAAGCTTGGCAGGGCAGGCCTGAAGAATGTTCCAGAAGCATGAGGTCTAGAAGAGAGGGGTGCAGTCAGCCCCTCACCCGGGTCCCCCCACAGAGCGTGAGGCCGAGCCACAGCAGGAGTCCCCGCAGAGCGTGAGGCCAAGCCACAGCAGGAGTCCCTAAGGAGCTTTCTCAGCCCTGGTTGCACCACGGAGGACCACGGGCCACAGTGGCAACCCCGAGGAGAAAGGATGGACCAGCCCAGCTCCCATCAGCCAGCCGGGAATTGGGCATGGCAAGACGACAGCCTCTCCGAGTGATGGAAACGTGCACTTGGCATGGACAGGGTGAGTGGGCAGTGGTCCACGGACAGGCTGAGTGTGCAGGTGGGCCGAGGGCCCGAGTGGACCCCTGCCAGCCACAGCAGAGGTCAGCCTGGCTGCACCATGGAGCTGGGGCAGGGAGGCCATGAGATGAGCTCCCTGCCACAGAGACACCACCCCCCATCCGAGGGTTCAGTGACTTGGATGCACAATAGCATCATGAGGTCAATCCATTATTACCCCCCACTTAGGAACGGGTAAGTTGGGGAGCAGAGGAGTGACGCTCTTACCCAGGAGACTCGCCTCTTCCTCCTCCTCCACACCCAGGCCACACCCACATGGGAGACCTGGAAGAAGCTCCTGGCTCCTGGCTTATGGCCTGGTACAACCAGCAGATGGAGGGACTCTGTCCTCTCTCTGTAACTCTGTCTTTCAAATAAATAAATCTTAAAGAACAGGGTACAGTAGCATTTAATGCATTCACGATATAACATTGCACAACCCTCATCCTTATCTTAATCCAAGATATTCTCATCGCTCCTACAACAGAAACCCTGTACCCATCAAACACTCACTCACTCCCATTGTCTCTCGCCTCAGCCCCTGACAACCACCCATCTAATTTGCATCCCTGTGGGTTTATCTGAACTGGACATGTCATAGAAACAGAATGATGTAACAAGCTGCTATTTGCATCTGGCTTATTTAACTTCGCACCACAGTTTCAAAGTGTTTGGAAGGCACCACATTCTGCTTCTCTACACAGCTGGGGGGAGCGAGAGTTGTTTCTACATCTCATCTACTAGGAATAAAGCGGTTAGAAAGCAGCGCATGGGGCCAGCACTGTGGTGTAGCAGGTAAAGCCGCTGTCTGCAGTGCCAGCATTCTATATTGGCGCAAGTTCATGTCCCAGCTGCTCCTCTTCCAATCCAGCTCTGCTGTGGCCTGGGAAAGCAGTGGAAGATGACCCAAGTGCTTGGGTCCTTGCACCCACGTGGGAGACCCAGAGAAAGCTCCTAGCTCCTGGCTTCGGGTCAGTGCAGCTCCGGCCATTGCAGCCAACTAGAGAGTGAACCAACGGATGGAAAACTCTCTCTCTCTCTCTCTGTCTCTCTGCCTCTCTCTCTGCCTCTCCATCTCTCTCAGTGTAACTCTGACTTTCAAATAAATAAATATTTAAAAAGTGATGCATGCCCAAATGCATTGTGAGTATCCTCAGTGGGTTCTTTTCTTAATGCTGCACCCCTCTTCCTCACAGACAATAGAGAGCAAAGGACTGAGATGAGGGTAGGCGATAAGAATAAAATGCAAACATAAAATCAATAGCATTTAGAGTTGTTGAATGACAGTTTACATTCAAATGAACAAACTGTATGAAGTATCTGAATATTGCACATTTTTTTTCTCCTTTGATATCGTAAGCTGGAAGTAGACATTGTCACTTCCAGTCTATAAATCAGGAAAGTGAGGCTTAGAGGCCTGTGTCAGCCAGGGTTGCACCCCAAGTGATTCTGACCCACAAGCCTGTCCTGCTACCTCACTCATCAAACTGGCAGTGGGGACAAGAGAATGGATGGCACCAAACAGGAGCCACGATGAAATCCACGCACAGAAGCTGCGGGCAGGAAATCGCCGGCTGCAACATTGGCCCCAAAGAGAGAAGAGGGGCCATGATCTGACTTGTAGGTCCGCCCCCACCGCCACCCCCATTCCACTCGGGCCCAGAGATCAAGCTTCCTTGACCCAGTGAGACTGAACGTGATCCAAGTCCAAGTGGACAGAGCACCAGGCGAGCCCCGTACCTGGCACTGGCTGCTCCTCGCCCAGCCGTTCTCTCTCGAGCTCCTGCAGGCACTGGTCTCGTTCCTCCTGCAGCACCCACAGCACATCACACAGCCGGGGCGGGGCTCCCACCTGCAAGTGCAGAACCAGGGGTGCTCATCAGGGCCACTCCCTCGAGCCCACCACACAGAGACCTCCTGTGAGCAAGAGCGCAGCTCCAGTGAGGAGATCCAAACCCCTGCGCAGTGCCCAGGAGCTGCTGGTGTGCAGGGTGGAGGCAGCCAGTCCTGGGGGAGGATCCAGAACACAGCTGGGGCAGCTGGAGTCCTCACGCTGTCTGCAGTGTGTCCGCTGCAAATCCTGACTGCGAGTTTAGCAAGGTTATCAAGGCCAAGGAGCTGCTGGCTTTTCTGGGGGCCTTGCCACGCCCTGCAAGACGTGTTTTTTTCTGTTCCAGCTACACGGCTATCTCAGTCTGGGAAAATTCAGTTTTGGTTCATACCAGTGCTTCGACACCTACACTTAACCACCTCTCTGTCCCTCAGGGGACAGCCTGAATCAGCGCATGGCCCTGGCTTCCTCGTGTCCCTGGAGTAGACTTCCATCATGCAGCTCCATGATTCCACAGGTGCTTGCAATGCTGAGTGAATGAACAAACAACTGACTGGATGAATGAATTGGGCCCCTGCTTTCCTTGGAGAACTCAGGTGATGGAATTTTAATACTGCAGAGTCCTTTTACAAACACTCATATAATCAGTTCTCAAAATAACACAATGAAGAGAGGCTAAAAGGGGAACTGAGACCCATGGAAGCCAGGAGATGTGACTGGGGTCACACACTCAGGGCTCTGGGTTTCAAAATCAGCCTGCCAAGGGCCAGCGCTGTGGCGCAGCGGGTTAAAGCCCTGGCCTGAAGTGCCGGCATCCCATATGGGCTCAAGTTCTAGTCCTGGCTGCTCCTCTTCTGATCCAGCTCTCTGCTATGGCCTAGGAAAGCAGTAGAAGATGGCTCAAGTCCTTGGGCCCCTGCACCCACGTGGGAGACCAGGAGGAAGCTCCCGGCTCCTGGCTTCAGCTCTGGCCATTGTGGCCCTCTGGGGAGTGAACCAGCAGATGGAAGACCTCTCTCTCTCTCTGTCTCTACCTCTCTCTCTAACTCTGCCTTTCAAATAATAAAGTAAATCTTAAAAAAAAGGAAATGAAGTAAAGACAACTAAGGTAGAACTATACACCAATGGCTTCAAAGGCAAAAAGGCAAACTTAAGTACTCTCCTGTTGTCTCCTATTTGGGCTCTTCCACATTTTGCTACTCTTCATGAATGCAGTCCAACAGCACCTGCTAGTGGCTGGGTTCACGGCCCCATCCTTGGCCCAGAGCCTCGGATAAGCCCCCAGCCAGTTGCAGCGGAAACATCAGAAGCATCCTACTCTGAGGCCACTTAACGCCCATTCCTTCCCCATCCTCAACCCTAAGTTTCCATTTTGCTCTTGACACTAAACAGCCAGCGACTTGGGCGCACTGTTTGCTATGTTTGCTACAAGACTCTGACACTGGAACGGCTACAGTCACCCCCTTTGATCAGTGAGTGACAGGTTCCCAGATGCCCGGAAAATACTCATATCCAAGGAGAATCAAGTCCTTTATATAAAGGTCATGTATTAACATGTAACCTACACACATCCTCGTGTGTGTGTGTGTAATGAGAGACAGACTGACCGAGCACCTATTGTTGGCTCACTCCTCTAACACCTACAACAGCTGAGGCTTGGAATGCAATCCAAGTCCCCATGTGGGTAGCAGGGACGCAAATAGGTCATATTTCTTAAAAATATGAGAGTAGTACAAAAATTGTGGAAAAGTGGAATCAAGACAAATTTATTTTTGCACCTTTTTTTAAAATCCATGCATTTGTTCATAATGTACATTTTCTGTGAACTTTTCAAAGACCCTTTGTATAGTAATTGTCAAGAGAGCTGGCCTTGGCACAGCGCCACACACTTGTGCCCTTGTCCTCTTCCTTGTGGGACTCATCCAGACTTAGCTGAAGCCCACGGTCTCTGGCACTGGCTGGTTTTTCCGTGGAAGGGCTTGAATGGGAAAATCCACCTGCAGGTTGGCAGCCATTGCCCTTCAGCTCATCAGTAGCCACACTTCCGGTTTCGAGCCACTTTGAAAGTAACATTACTCCTCAAATGTGAGAAAGCGCCAAACAGGCACAGTCTTTTCAGTAATTTAAGGAACTATTATCTATTAAATGTTACAAAAATGCTCAGATTCTTTGGTCAATTAAATACTCTACTTCTGAGAATCTGCACCTAAGACACCGGCCACCAGGGGGCAGCCTTGTGTCTAGAGTGCATATGGACCGAGGCTAGGTTAACTTGAGCAAGTTGAGTGGCGGATGGGGAACTGTCTGTGCAGAAGAGAGTGCAGAGTAAGTGATGTAGTTGTCGCTGTCACTTCGGGAGGAAGCTCCTGGAGATGAGGGTGGGGTGGGTAGGCACAGGGACTGGCAGTGGGAAGGGTGCAACGGACTGCTTGTGTCCCTCCCCTTGCCCCAAATCTACATGTTGAAGCCCGAACCCTCAGCAGGGCTGCACATGGAGGGAGGACCCATAAGGAGGGAATTCAGCTATATGTGAGGGGAGGGCCCCGATTCCAGGGTCTTTGTAAGAATAAACACCAGAAAATGCAACCCAGCCCCCTCTCAGGAGAGGCCGGCTGGAAACAAAGCCACCTGCCAGCCAGGAAGGAACCCCTCACCGACAAGACACTGAACCCCATTGGCCTTGATCTTGAACTTCTGACTTCCGGCCTCCAGAATTGTGAAAGTCAATTTCTACAGTGTCAGCTCCCAGGCTGGCATTTAGTGATGATGGCCTGGGACAAACAGGAAGGAAGCAGACAGAGGGGATAGTGTAGACCCAACGACCAGGGCAACATGTAGGTCAGAGGAAACTCAGCCAAGTGCCCTTGACCATCAGCAAGTGGGAGGCAACCCCTCTGTGTTGAAAATGACAGGGGAGGGGGCGGTCAGGAATTTGAAGCACCTCAGAGAGCCTGGGTAAGGAAGCCAGGTGGGCCATGGCAGGGTGGGGTCTGGATAGGGCTCCTGGCAGCACGGTGCAGGCTGCAATCAGCCAGGAGCCCCCTTCACAGAGGCCCCTCGGCATCTGTCAGACATAGCACGCTGAGGATAGTCTCATTTCCCAAGTGCACACGACACGGAGCCTTCTGTTTGTCATGTAACCAAGCAGATAGTATCGGAGTGTTGTGCCTTTCACCCTGGGCTGCGCCAGGTCCCAGGAGCCCGAGGGCAGGTCAGCCGGGAGAACTCTCAGTGTGCAGAGGGCACGAGGTGGGGAGTGAGGCTGGGGTAGCTGGAGGGACGGCTCCCCTGCCGCGTGGAGCTCTGATGCTAGATACGAAATCTGAGCATTCCACAAGGGCTGCCGAGAAGCGAGGCTATCCTCTCCCTGGGCGCGGGAGGGAATCTGGGTTGTAACTGGGGAGAGGGTGGAGGCAGGGGAGCTCTGTGGGACCCCAAAAGGAGGTGCCAAGGCAAGACATGGACTCCTCCAAGCAACGTGGGACGCGGTATCTCCTGTTTGTGCCACTTGGCACCCTTCCTCCCCAAGTTCCACTCCAGCCCCTCAGTAAGTGTTGTGTAATGTGTTTTCCCCTTACAAGGTGACCTGGTGAAATAGGCATTAATGTTAGTGTGAGGACTGGGAGAGGCTTTTATGAAAGCCTTTTGTACACGAGAAACATAGAGCAGTGCTCTCCACTGGAGCAGCCGGAAGATGTGCCCGAGAAGAGCACTGGGACCCGAGTCCTGTGCCACCGCGTCTGGCTGAGCGGCCCCGAGCACACGGCTTCCTCCCCCGCCCCCTGAGCCTCAGCCTTCTCATCTGCACAATGGGGGAAGGGATTGCCTGTGTGAGAACCAGATGAGATGGTGCTGGGGCGGACTTCGCAGAGTCTTGTGTGAAACAAGAGCTCGGTAAGGGAAGCCTTTATCATCCACCATCATCATCATCACTCACCCCAAACGTTTAGGGATGGTAAAAGCATAAAAAGAAATCCACAAATAGTCCTTCAAAATGCATCCGGAGTAGCATTTCGCACACCCACAGCCCATATCAGAGCCCTGGGTTTCCGTTCCGGCTCCGCTGCTGATTCTAGGTTCCCGCTAATGCTCAGCCTGGGAGGCAGTGGGTGATGGCTCAGGTAGTGGGGTCACAGGGGAGACCCGGGTGGAGTTCCAAGCTCCTGGTTTCAGCCTGGTGAGCCCCAGCTGTTGAGGGCATTTGGAGGACAAATGAACCAACAGGCAGGAGTTCCCTCCCTCTCTTCCTCCCTCCCTCCCTCCATCCCTCTTTCTCTCTCTCTTTCTCTCACTCTTGCTCTCGCTCTCGCTCTGTGTGTGTGTGTGTGTGTGTGTGCATGAGTGTTGCTCTCTCTCTGCCTTTCAAATAAATAAATAATTTTTAAGGTAGCTAGTGATTTTCTCAGGCATACAAAAGAATCCCCAGGGACCTTCTTCTGAAGGGTCACCCATGACCTGTTCCCCAGCTCCCCTGGGATCCCTACTGGCCTTCCTCCAGGCTGCCCACTGCACCACCACAGGCCTGGTCAGCACCACAGATGGGGACAGGGCCACCATGCCCATAGGCTTCTATGCACCAGACCCCATAGTCAGAGGGTTTGTTTGTTTGTTGTTTGTTTAGAACCATCCACTGTGGTGGGGGTGGAGGGAGGAAGGGAAGATGGAAATGATCCAGGAAACCACCCCTCACAGAAGGCTTCCAGGCTTGCACCAGGTGCACCTGTTTCTGTCACTGGACTCCAGTCCAGTCACCACTCCCACAGCTGTGAATCCAACACAAGCCCCTACGACGAGCGCCATGACTGCACCTCCTCGGACACCCAGCAGTGGTTCTCAGCCTGGGCATAGTGGGTAAAGCCGCCGCCTGCAGGGCTGGCATCCCCTATGGGTGCCTGTTCAAGTCCCGGCCGCTCCACTTCTGATCCAGCTCTCTGCTATGGCCTGGGAAAGCAGTGGAAGATGGCCCAGGTCCTTGGGCCCCTGCACCCACGTGGGAGACCCAAAGAAGCTCCTGGCTTCGGATTGGCACAGCTCCAGCCATTGTGGCCAGTTGAGAGTGAAACAGCAGATGGAAGACCTCTCTCTCTGCCTCTCCTTCTCTATGTAACTCTGACTTTCAAATAAATAAATAAATCTTTAAAAAAGAAAGAAAGCAAGCCTGCTTGGAGAAAGAAACAGCCCATCTACCCCACTTCACTCATTGGAGTTCCAAGTTGGCTGTTTGCCAGGCGCCATGGACTAAGAAGCCTGGATTCAAGTGACCGTTTTTCCACTGATGGACACATGTATGTGCAATTTAGCAAGCAGAGGTTGCTTTCAGGATGTGGCCCTTCACCCCTTGTCATACCCCTTGTCATTCAACACACTCCCTGAGCTCCCCCTACCCCATGGCAGGCCCTAGGGATAAGGGATAAACAAGACAATGCTTAAGATCAAGGTGAGCGTATTGGAGGGTGTGTGGTGGGGACAGATGTGTTGGAGAATAATTAGAATAACATTTGTAAATATTCTCCTGAGATGCACGGGGGCAGAGGCGGCACAGGGATGTGTGCTCAGGGCTCCTTATGGGAAGCCTAGGAAGCTGCCCCTTGGGGCGGGTGCCGTGGTGCAGTGGGTTAAGCCGCCGTCTGGAAGCCCGCATCCCACATCAGAGTGCCTGGTCCAGCTCCGTGCTAATGTGCACCCTGGTAGACAGCAGGTGATGGCACAAGGACTTGGGTCCCTGCCACCTATGTGGGAGACCTGGATGGAATTCCTGGCTCCCGGCTTCAGCCTGGCCCAGCCCCAGCTGTTTTAGCAGCCATGTGGGATTTAACCAGCAGATGGAAGATATTTACTGCCTCTCTCTCTCTCTTTCTCTGTCAGCTTTTAGAATAAAAAATTAATACATAAAGGTTTTTAAAAGATCTATTTATTTAATTAAAAGGCAGAGTTACAGAGAAAGAAAGGGAGAGAGACACAGAGAGAGATCTTCCATCAGTGAGTTCACTCCCCCAAATGGCTGCAACAACTGGGGCTGGGTTCAGTGCCCACCTCTGGCTCCTGACCCCAGCTTCCTGCTAACATGGACCCTGGGAGGCAGCAGTGATAACTCATGTGATTAGGTTCCTGCCACTCACTAGAGAGACCCGGATTGAGTTCCTAGTTCTTGGCTTTGGCCATGGACCGGCCCAGTCATTGTGAATATTTAGGGAATGAACCAGCGGATAGGAGCTTTCTCTGTCTCTCTTTCTGCCTGCCTCTTATAAGGAAATAAATAAATAAAATTTATCCTAAACATATTTGAACCCCTTAAATTTTGAGATCAGATATTTTACCACCCAGGGTGAAACAGGAGGAAAGCAGAGCTTCAAAGGCTGGGAATACGCCAATGAAAGTAGGTCAATTCCACACCTATTCATTGAAGCAATTTCTCTGTGAAGAAGTGTGAGACACAACCCTTGTCCTGCATAAGCCAAAGGACCACAACCTGCACACAGGGACTCCAAGGCATTAACACGTGAGTGTGTGGAAATGTCACGGAAACCCAAGAGGGCATAACGCACAGAGCCCCCGGTGGCTGGGAAATCACGGGATCTGGGTTCAAGTCCCAGCTGTGCTCCTAAACTTGCACATCTCAGGCAGGTAGCTTCCTTCTCCCCGTGAGTCTCCCTTTGCTCATTTGTAAAATGAGGCCACTGAACCAGAGCCTAAGGAAGCATCTTTGCAAGGCACACTGAAGATCTGCGTGGAGAAAAGTCTTCTCATTTCCCCCTCTGCTTATCCCTGAGAGAGCCTGAGGGTCGCCTGGAGACGTAGGCTCATCCTCAGTCCTACAGCCCAGGTGCCAGGTAAGACAACCTGAGGGTTACTGCAAGCATTTAGCAAGGAGTCGGGGTGGCTCTAAAAGAGGCAGCACTGTCTTTCTCCGCCCTAGCCGCTGAGTAACACATCTCCTGGCTGTATTTGGCTTTGAGCTGCTCCCAGGGCCCCAGGGGGGCAGCCCCCCCAAATTGCGGTGGATGCACTTGAGAGATGAGGCTTGGAGCTTGCAGGGGAGCTGGGAGTGAGCCCCAAATTGCATTTTTTCCAAGCTACTGCTGCTAGAATGTCAGGGAGCTGCTGGCTGGGCACCCCACAAGTGCCACGGCTGTCACCCACTCCCCTTAAGAATCTCACAGGAGTAGGTTCTGGAAGACAAAGAGCCAGGACCCCAGGAGCCAGAGATGGAAGGTTCAGAATTGAGTCCCCAAGCTCTTGTGGGACCCCAAGCCCTTGGGGGCCCCTTTGGAATGCCAGGGAGGAGGGGTGGTTCTAGAATCTGCCCCCCCCCCCCAGCCCTCGTCCTCAGCTCTTCCATCGTGCCCGCCTGCAAGTAGCCACTCTCTCACTAAGACAGACCTCAGAAGCCCCAGACTCTCAGGAGCTTCTGTGGGCAAGAATAGCAAACTCCCCCCACTCCGCCCCTTCTTTCCTCTCACGCCGTCGCGTCTGTGGGCCGTCTGTGGGGAGTGGCCGCTCCCAGGAGCCGCCAGACCCATCTAGGACCCGAGCACCCAGGACCCGGGAGAGGCAGCACCACAGCGGCCATCGCGAACCCTGGAGCTGTGGCCACAGCCCCCGGGAAATGTCAAGGCTTCAGGGCGGGCCCCGCGGACGGCTGTTTGTTCCCACCCTCCTTTCCTGGCACCGGGCACGTTTCTGTCTTTCCTTGCCAAGCTCTGGTTTGTCGGCTGGGAAAAGCAGCGATGAGGCTGCTAGGACATTTTGGAGGCACAGCGGCCAGCGGCGGCTTGAGAGACTTTCGTCTAGGACGCGTGGGCAGGAGGGAGCGGTGGGGCGTAGGGCGAGGGAGTCCCGGAGCCGCCTGCTGCAAGCGGTACAAGCCGCTGTTATTCCTGAAGAGCAGACCGTCTATTGTTGGGATGGGGCGGAGGCAAGGCTTGTCCCCCGCCACCTTCATCTCGCGTGGGACTCGGGGCCCCAAGCCGGCGGAGCGCGCCGTACTCACCGAGTGCGCGGCGCAGGCGAACCCCAGCAGCAACCACAGCCCCAGCGGCGGCCCCGGGCGGGGACACATGTTGCCCCGCGCGCCCCTCGACAGCCGCCGGCAGGTGCGCTCGACCAGTTTGTGAGCTCAGGGCCCCGGACAGGGTACCGGGTCCCGGGCAGCCGCAGAGCTTGGAGGAGCCATCCTGGGCGGACGCGGTGGCTGCACGCTCTGCGCTCTGGGGCCCATAGATAAGGACGTTGCGCTAGGGGCGCTCCTCCGTCCAGCGCAGACTGGCTGGGGGCAGACGGGGGGAGGAGGCAGAGGCAGGGCGCGGTGCTGGAGCTGGCGCCCGCAGGCTCTGCCCAGCCATCTACGCCGCAACCCGCCCTCTCCCCAACACCCCCACCACCCCGGAGTCATGCAACCCAGAAGCTCAAAGAGGGAGCCCAGGTCTAGACCTTCACGGCTAAGCCTGAGCCTCTGTGGCTGACTTGGGCGTGAGAGCCAGCTGTGACAGTTGTGCCATCACAGCTGTTAGTACCGCTGCGTCCCAGAGACTGTTGATGAGGTTGATACATCCCAGCAGAGGATAAGGGAGGACACTTTCAACGTCTAAGTCCAAAATCAAAGCTCGGTACACATCCCCCACAAAGTGTACATAACCACTGACTCCCTTCTAGGAATGTTAAAAAGATTATGTTATATTTGAAAGGCAGAGGGACAGTGAGAAGGAGAGACTTTCCAACCACTGGTTCACTCCCTAAATGGCCCCAATGGTGAGAGCCAGGAGCCAGGAACTCCATCCGGTCCTCCCAGGTGAGTGGCAGGGGACCAAGCTCTTGGACCATCATCCACACCGCCTTTCAGGCACATTAGCAGGAAGCTGGATTGGAAGTGGCGTAGCGGGAACTCCTGCTGGTGCTTCGATATGGGTTGCCAGTGATTAACCGATGAAGTGCAATGTTAGCCCTCCTTCTGGGAATGTACTCCACACAAATACTCACCAAAGGGTCTGATGGAGCATGTGGGGGGAGCCTTGTGGAAACACCCTTACAGAAGCAGACAAGGTCAAGGGAACCCCGAGGCTTGCCCTTGATGGTTCCTCAGAGTGAGCAACCATTAGTCTGATCCTTTTTCTGCCTCTAAACACAGACACAGACACACACACACACACACACACACACACACCCCTGAGGTGAGCTCCCCAATCCTGATGCCCTTGGCATAAGGAACGGGCGTGAGTTCTGCACCCTCTTCTCTTCTTCCATGGACAAGCTCACCCAGCCTCCTACACAGAGCCAACGGGAGGATAGCCCTGGGCGAGGCTGGCCCTACACTGGCCCAGTCCTACCAGTGACAGAGTGATGTTCTCTCTCAGCTGGGGTGTGCTGTTAGAAAGCCTTCTTGCCCATAAGCATAAATCACGTTCTCCAAAGCCAACTCGATCACTAACAGAAGTGGTACTCAGCCTTGTCTGTCTGAGTCTTATTTCTCAGTTGGTCCAAGATGCATTCAGGCTGGAAAGAAAAAAGAATGTCCTTCAAACCCCAACACCCTAAATGTGCATCAGTAAGCATGCGATACGGACTTGTAATGTGTATGTACAGACTTTTGCGTTGCTTTCATGTTCTCTCTCTCTCCCTCTCTCAAATGTACTTATTATTTGAAAAACAGAGTTACAGACAGGCAGAGAGAGAGAGAGAGAGAGAGAGAGAGAGAGAGAGAGGTCTTCCATTTGCTGGTTCACTCCCCAAATGGCTGTAATGGGCTGATCCAAAGCCAGAAGTCTGGAGCTTCTTCTGGGCCTCCCACACAGGTACAGGGGTCCAAGGATTTGGGCCATCTTCCACTGCTTTCCCAGGCTATAGCGGAGAGCCGGATCGGGAGTGGAGCAGCCAGGACTCAAACCAGCACCCATATGGGATGCTGGCACTGCAGGCTTTATCCGCTAGGCTCCACACCAGCCTCACTTGCTTTTTTTTTGTTTGTTTAAGATTGATTTATTTGAGAAGCAGAGTTACAGAGAGAGAGGGAGGGAGAGACAGAGAAAAAGGTCTTCCATCCACTGGTTTACTCCTCAAATGGCTGCAATAGCCAGAGCTGTGCTGATCCGAAGCCAGGAGCCGGGAGCTTCTTCCGGGTCTCCCACATGGTAGTCTTCCCCAAGTCTTCTCCTGTGTGAGAGACCCGGAAGAAGCTCCTGGCTCCTGACTTCAGATCAGAGCCCCTCTGGCCATTGTGGCCAATTGGGGAGTGAACCAGCAGATAGAAGACCAACCTTTCTCTCTCTGCCTCCTCTCTCTGTGTAACTGTCTTTCAAATAAATAAATAAATAAATAAATCTTTTTTAAAAAATAAAAGCTAAGCAAGGCTCAGGCCAATTGTGCAACCCATAAATGCCCCCATTGAAATGGATCCATTCCACTGAAATGTGAACGTGGAGGTGGACAGTGTCCAGGGTGCAGGGTTTGGGGGCCATTTAGCCAAGGCTCTTGGTTCCTAGCTGTAACTGCACACTTGTGCAGAAGATCTGACAAGTGCTCTTTCTCCATTGGATATAAACAGCTACCGTGTATGAAGGATTGCATCCGCCTGGCCATATAAAATGGTGTGATTTTTATTTGTCTTTGCAGTCTTCCAGATCACCGAGGGTGCACGACACGGTCTGGCTCGATGCTGACTCAGTAGTAGAGCTGTGCCTTTCTTTTTTTCCTTTTATGGAGAACACTCATGATGTAGCAGGAGATGCTACTTGTAATTACTTCTCCAACCACATTTTATATTTTGGGTTTTTTTAAAAATTATTTCTTTATTTTGCATTTCTCTAAAGGCAATAAACACTTGTTGGGAAACTAAGGCTCGTTGTTGACTATTTCCCGAGCACCTGCTCTGCTGCAGGTGCTGTGCTAAGATGACAGAGGCCTGGGGAAGTTACCTTCAGCAAGCTCAGGCCCATGCGGGAAGCTGTGCTGCTGAGAGTGCACCCGATTCCCAGAGGCCCAGGAAGGCGACTGGGGCTGGCATCCAAGATTTACAAGATGGCCACAGCCACACACTTCTCAGACCTGCTGGCTGGCTGACATAGCAACCACAGTGTGTACCAGATGAAACTACAAATGGTGGGGCTGACGCTGTGGCGTAGTGGGTAAGGCCGCTGCCAGCAGTGCCGGCATCCCATATGGGCGTCAGTTCAAGTCCCGAGTGCTCCACTTCCAATCCAGCTTTCTGTTATGGCCTGGGAAAGCAGTAGAAGATGGCCCAAGTCCTTGGGCCCCTGTGCCCGCGTGGGAGACCCAGAAGAAGCTTCTGGCTCCTGGCTCCTGGCTCCTGGCTTTGAATTGGCACAGTTCCAGTCATTACAACCAATTGGGGAGTGAATCAGCAGATGGAAGACCTCTCTCTCTCTCTCTCTCTCCTTCTCTCTCTGTGAAACTCTGACTTTCAAATAAATAAATAAATCTTTAAAAACAAAAACATGAAGCTACAGATGGCGATACATTCTCTGAGAGCGTATTGTACGGGACCAGACAGAGCAGGTGGAGTCATTAAATCTGACTCATGTTAGTCACCGTTCTGGTGGGTCAGATGTATTTGAGTGAGAGCACTTTTATAGGAGTCAATGTGGTAGGTTTCTGTTGGTTTTCGCCCATCTAACCTCCATTCTCTTTCCTTCTGATAGAAGAATCTCTCAGACCCTCACTCACAGTGTGGCTGGCAGTTGGGGAGACTTTTCACCAAGAGCAGCCCAGGAGAGAGCACAAGAGCTGGACCTGGGCAAAGAGATTCAGCCCATCTACCCTCCTCCTGCCTGCTGCTCACCACACAGCCATTAATCGGGGATGGGCATGTGACTGGATGTGCCACAGACAAAGCCTGTGTCGGCAGTAGGATCAAGCTAACTGCAAGGTGCAGCCTGTGGCACAATATGAGGAGGTGCTGGTGAGAATGAAGCCAGTCTGGATGGGGAAGATCCAAGAGCTGGAGAAACCAGTCCCGGAGAGCAGCATCTGGCTCCTAGACGCAGATGTTCCTGAAGCCCCTCCCTCACCCCCGCCCCTGCCAGCTCTGCCTCTCCGAATGTGGGGTGTGTGTGAGTCAGTTTCCATCACTTCTAACGGGAGATTCCCTGACTTATACTTAAGGAAGCCTTCCCCAGGCTTTTGAGCCAGAGGGACTGGTTGGGGGTGGGATGGGGGGAGTGGAGCAAAAAGAACAGTGGAGAAAGAGGGAGTAATTGGCTACCCCTGGGTATCTGGGTCTCAGGTCTTCACCAAGTGACTGTGTAAGTGCAAGGCTCTTGCTCTGCCCCTTTGAGGACTGAATAAACCAAACAAAGAGAGCTGTCCCCTCCTGAATGGCAGCTTTCCTGGGAGCCCAGCTAATGTATTATTGATGAGCCATAAAGAATGGGGCAAGCGTGATTTCCTATTCAGTCCTCAAGTACAAAGGCATAATGCTGACATTTTAATGAGGTTTTTATGGCCCAGGCTCACTGTTTACAATCTGGAAATGTAGGCTGGCTTTCTCAGGAAAGCCGTATTTCCTTTACTTTTTCTATTTTCCTCTTCCATCTGTCAGCGTCCTTTTGAATATTTATATGAAATATTGTAGTTAACACAGACCAAATAAAAGAAAGCAAATAAAGCCAGATCGGAAAGACAATGTTGCTAGCACGCCCAAGGTCTTCTCCTTGCTGGGTGGAGCAAAGAAAGTCAAGTGCACCAGCCCCCCCCCCCCCAGACCCTTCCAGAGTCTGGGAAGGCAATGCACAACAGACAAACCCGGGGTTCAAACCCTGCCTGATTCTCCAATTAGCCATGTGAAACACGGGGAAAGTCATTTGAGCCCTCCAAGCCTCAGTCTCCTCCACATAATTGGAAAAAGCATACTCATCTTTCTGCATTGCCGTTTGGTTGAACATAATTCAATGAGGTGGCCTGGTGATGTAAGCCAGCACCCCACATCAGAGCGCCGGTTTGAATCCTGGCTGCTCCACTTTTGATCCAGCTCTCTACTAATGCACCTGGGAAGGCAGTGGATGACGGTCCAAGTACTTGGGCTCCTGCTCCCCACGTGGGAGACCTAGATGGAGTCTTTTGCTCCTCGTGTCAGCCTAAGCCACTCTCAGCCATTGCAGCCATTTGGCCAGCGAACCAGCTCCCTGCTACTGCACCTGGGAAGGCAGGAGAAGACGGCCCAAGTACTTGAGCCCCTGCCACCCATGTGGGAGACCAAGATGGAGTTCCTGGCTCTTGGCTTCAGCTTTGCCCAGACCTGATCTTTG